TTAAACTCGTTTCTTACTTGTTTACTCTATGTAAAACTTAACGTTTCAACTCACTCGGTTTTGCAGTCTGACGTAATTTTTACAACAATCAACTTTTTTTTGCATTCCGAAACGTAATGGCCTGGAGTCCACAATTATAAGGCTTCTAGCGAGCATTATACGACCTGGCTAGCAGAATACATTTAAACCGATTATTCTATATACGGAATTATAATCCCATTCCGTCAAAATAATATATTGAGTGACGTAATTATTTTATTATTTTATGATATCTATGCATGTGGAGTAATGTAAAATCATCATTGCATACTTTCTTTTTATTTATAACGTGTTTTATCAAACCGCAAAACGTGAGGGATTAAAATTATCAAATTTTCACATATCTCTTAAAATTAAGGTGCATGCGGTAGATATGATATGATAAAACGAAATTCAATTTAATATTTTATCGATATTAATAGCATTAATGAAGTAAAATAAAGAAGGTCATGAGAAGTAGGAAATTGAATGCCAAGGTAGGCATAAAATACATCCATAGGAAACTGGCTTCCAGTTCTGAAATAAAATGAATTGGTTAAATTGGTGTGTCCGAGCTTCGATACATTATGTTCGTATAAGGATAGTAAAAAGAATCGGCCTCAATTCAATGCACAAGGAAAGTTGTGGCGACTGCAACCATATACGGACCCGGGAGTATTTAGGTTTGTATTAAATTTTTAATTCATAAGCCTTAAACAGTTACCTTTTTTTGCTATACGGTAGCTTGATATACGAAAACGAATAAGAATGAAGGCGGGGTAACTTTTTAGTACACAAGAACAACGGGATTCGTCATTTTGGTAGCTAAAAAGGATTTAATATTCTTCTTGAAATTTTCTTTGATTACCGGGATGTTCCATCTGAAGGTTATGTAATATCAATTGGAGTTAAATGGTTTTATTATTCGCTTCGCCTTGCTAAGTGTTTACAGGAAGTAACTGACAGTCCTACACAGCTTTGTATCGTTGAGATTTATCTAATAATAGAGAATTACATGCAGTGCAAACCGCACGCGGTTAAAAATGATATCCTGAGTGTGGCAATGATGTCATTGTTGTGATTTTTTAACAATATTTTATTCATATAAACTAAAAGGATTTTGAATGTATTATCTTGATGATGATTAAGCTGAAATACTGTTGATAAGATACAAATTCTTATAAGATTTTTTTTGTAATTACAAAATAAAAGTAACGTATACAATTCATTTTAAAGATTATGCAATGACATCACGCATAGCCGCTCTCTTATTTTTGCAATGGCCTATTAAGGTTATCGTTCCAAAAAAAGAGATATGTTGTGATAAGATTATGTGAGTAAATACTTTGTCTTAAACCATAAAAATGTTCATATCACCGTTGTTATGCCATAAGTAAATAGTTGGTATATTTCAAAATTATGGAGCCATTTAAAATTAGCGAAATAAATTAACAGGCGAATTCATTTTTGAATGTTTTTTTTCTGCCTCTCGCCAGCCAGTTTATTTTAGGCCAGTTTAGACTGGCCTAATGATTTGTTTAATTTAAAACCAGTATCATTTCCTTTGATACAAAAAATATAACACGTGAATGTGATTTTAATATCAAACAATAATAATCTGGTGAGAGTTGCTAAGATGAAGCGTGGGAGTAGCACAGTTACCGTAGAAGGTCGTTGGCCATATGGTTTAGATTGATACCAAACAGCGCAGCCAAATCTGAGAAAGAAATGACAGATGACATTCATTTATAATAGCGGTATTATTAATATTGGTTTTGATTTAAAACGAAAAAATATACTCAAAATATATGTACGTACAGCAATTTAAATGATCTTTAGAAAATATTGATAAGAATATCAAATTTGATAAATTATTTTAATTGGACGGATTCTTTTAGTTGTTTTGATCTATATTTTCAATTCATTAAATCTTTGTGGCAATTATTATACAGACTGGAATTTCAAGTTTTTTTGGTACTTATTGAAATTGGTCTTATTTTAGCAACATAAAAGTTCTAAATATAAAACTAATCAAGCAAATTCTTACTTTATTGATTTTGTATCTATATAGGTACGTGGTACAAAGACTTTAAATAGATTTGTAGCAATTTGCGCTTGTATTCTTTATCTAGTACGAAAATCTTTTGTTATTTATCTTCAATATTTATTTTTACCAATAAGGCATTAGTTTGAATGGAGCCTTTGTCTTTGATAATTTAATTACGAAAGGTACGAACGCTACAGAATTTTTTTTGTCGGTAAATTATTTTGCACTTAAAAGCAACAATAGGTCACCTTGAAAAATTTCGTGGGAGAATATTAGAATTCGTGTTTTTTACTTTTAAAATAATCGTGTTTTTTTGCAATTAAAGAATTGTATGCGAAAGTAAATGCTTTTATTACCTGTTTCTAAATAAAAAGATACAATTATCGGTATCTTTTAACATGGTCTAATATGAATTGTTAAAATAAGTTTTTTATGTATTTTACGTTTTTTATATTTTGTGATAATCGGATTGGTTGTTGGATCTTAACATTTTATTACTCCGAGTCTTTGGTCGCAGCAGATTAATCTTAACAAAAAATATCTGTGGAGAAGAAAATTAAATTTAATATCGTTACTACAATTTAGAAGTTAGATGTTAGTTATGATGAGGTTTCGTTTCTCATAATTTATTATTCTAAAATTTATACGTTGATTGAGTACTTCTACAGCTGCAAGCTGGAAAGTGAGCTAGCTGTATTATTGATATGAATTGGCTATAATCGAAATGTATCTATTGTTAATAAATTACTACAAGCTCAGATTCCTTCTCTTCTAAAAGTATTATAATTATTTTATACTCACAAGTCCTGCAGTCCTTCAGAAAGCAATACATCTGGAGATAAAAATACAGTTAGAATTTTATATTATGACGGCAATGTAACGTTAGATTATAATTCACTAACTACATAAGTAAACATACAAATAGGCTGGTAAACATATACATGCAATTCATGAAAAAACATTCGTAAGTACATTCCCTAATATAAACGTGTCAAGGATAATTATTGTTATTGAATTCCCGATAAGTGAAACATCGAAATTCTAAAAACAAACAAATATATCAAAACCATATATTCAAAGTTGAGTAATACTCCCGATATAGTGAGCGAGATCAACTCAGTCATCCGACCCCTGTGAGTCAGGCTGCATTGGGTGAACATCTGCGATTGTGAAATCAAGTGCTTCTCAGTAAAGAGTAATGAATCCTTCATATTATATAAATACAACGCCTATATTTAAAAGGATTTGATTATGTATTTTATTGCTAATGTCATTAAGATCATTTTTCTTTAATTAAGAAACAGGCTATTGATCTTTGTATAACGCGAAACATTTAATTAAAACATTTCCTTTGTCCAATAAAGAGTTATAATAAAAGACATGATCAATAAAGCATATGAGGATATTTTTACAATATATGCCACGGTCGTCTTCTTGTATGTAGAACTTGCTATCAGCCGCTAGTCACTTTGTCCTTAATCGTATCATACTTGTATGTACAGAAGCCGACAAGTCATAACCTTTAACCGAAACCTTATAATTTTAAAATGAAAATCATATATGTAATTGTTCATATAAATTTAAAACTAAGGATATCATTGTAATTTTATTTATGACTTACTGGATCAGGTTAAAATCTTTTTTACTATTATAAGTATAACTATGTGTCCAAAATAGAATTAAGTAACAAAGGTTAGGTAATAAAGTATTACCTACTTTGTACTCTAGTTAGTTCTGAAAAAAGGGTTTAACATTTAAATTGATTCACGTAGAATCTATTGCATTATAATTTCCATATAACATAGAAAACAAGAATAATAATTAAATATTAATTAATAATTTCTTTGGTATGAAAAAGCAATAATTTTTTAAAGATTTCTATTTATAGTTACCGCAATAACATATATATGTATGTTATTTCCTTATATTCCGATATTATACCTTCAAAAGATACGAAATATATTATAGAGATTGTAAGGACGATCGATCGATGGCCGGATTTTGGTTATGTTTGATTCCCATCGCTAGGCGACAAATTGGTTTCAGGCAAATACTTTCACAATTGTTGCTAAGTCAACCTTGATGAATTATTAAAACTTTTGAGTATATAACAGAATACGAGACTCCAGATAATTCATGAATATAACATTTCAAGAAGATTACTCTTTGAGATAATTGATGGGATGAAGGATGCCCTTTCTTTCGCTTGTAGATCCTTATAAGTTTCTGAAAGAGGATTGACTCATTGCTATATTTGGACGAACAGCCGCCTACTGAACTCTTCACTTCATAATTTTAATCGTAAATTTATATCACATTGTGTCTATCTTATTTGAGGAGTTTCTTATATTTCGATAAATGTAAAGATTTTTACTTATTTCCTATAATAGAAAACTGTAATTTTTCTTGTCATCCAAAAAATCAATTAATATAAGTACAATAGTATTTTAAACCATACGTCAACTCTAGTCTTATAAAGAATATAGCAATGCGGCTATATTATTGCAAGTATACATATCTATAATAATCACATTTAAAAAAAGTTTTTCAAAAAAGTATACCTATCTTTTGTAGGTCATTAAGTTACAATTAGAATAAAGAATAATAACTAACTGAAGTCCTAGGAATAGTAAACATTATCAAATGGAAACCCGTCAGTCTGTAATCTGATGTACGGTCGGCTGTGCGTTACTTCGGTTGATTAAAGTGCTGTTAACCTGCAATAGAAAAATATAATATAGTTTCATGTATATAAAAAGCTGAAAAGAATTAAAGAAATCAAGGAATTCAGTTAATCATTGTGTTACTAATTCTGTGTTACCGATATCGGACATAATGCATTAAGAAAGATTTTTAACGCTACGATGTGTTCGGAAATAATGTATATAATTAAATAAAGGAGACTTCGGAGTACGAAGCGCAATGGACGCGTACGATGGCCAAACCTCTTGTTCTACCGCCTTTACCAAAACCAAAACGCTTTCCATTGTATTTGCATCCATATCGTTTAAGGTGACTGTTAGAGACAAAGTTGTAATTAATTTATACAACAATAACCACGTAGTTTGACGTTCTTAACTATTTCAGAACATTTAATATTTAGATTCCCCTACTGACTATATGTAATTCAAACTTGCAAAATGTTTTTGTTTAAAACAGTTACAAGTTAAATGCCTTTTCAGAAAATTATGGGTCTACAAAACATAATTTTGATAAGTGAAAAATTTTTAATGATTAAACAGCTAGATTTTTAATGTTGATTTTTTGTTCATATATTTAGGCGTCACCGCTGCCCACACAACGATGTCCCGGAGCCATTGTTCGATGTGGAGGAGCACACTACGAGCGTTGTCTCCGCATACAAACAAGACTACGACGAAAAGTACGTCAATCGTACAAGCGCTGTCTATCATGAAGATCATTTAAGACTTGAAGGTGAATTTATAGAACCTGAGCGACCCCACTGGCAGCCTGTCGAACGTCCCAAAGCAAAGAAGCCAGAAGATAATCTAAGGCCTGAAGGTGATTTCGAAAAAAGACGTCCAGAAGAATGGCGTCCAGGTGAAAGAGCACCTATTAAAAAACCGGAAGATAATTTGAAACCGGAGGGTGACTTTGCAAGGAGAAAACCCGAGGAATGGCGTCCAGGGGATAGAGCGCCTGTTCGCCGACCTGAGGATAACTTGAAACCTGAAGGGGACTTTGAAGACAGAAAACCACAAGAATGGCAACCAGGAGACAGGGCTCCTGTTAAAAGACCACAGGATAACCTCAAGCCTGAAGGTGAATTTACCACTCCTGAAAAAGATAGTTGGCGTCCCGCAGATCGACAGATGCCTAAAAAACCAGAAGATAACTTACGACCTGAAGGAGAATTTGAAAGACCCAAACCGGAGGAATGGCGTCCTGGTGATAGAGCGCCTGTTCGCCGACCTGAGGATAACTTAAAACCAGAAGGTGATTTTGAGCGTCGAAAGCCAGAAGAATGGCAACCTGGAGATAGAGCTCCTGTCAAAAGACCACAGGATAACCTCAAGCCTGAAGGTGAATTTGAACAGAGGCGCCCTGATGAATGGAGACCGGGTGATCGTGCTCCAACTCGTCGCCCACAAGATAATCTAAGACCTGAAGGTGAATTTAACACTCCTGAAAAAGACAGTTGGCGTCCCGCAGATCGACAGATGCCTAAAAAACCAGAAGATAACTTACGACCTGAAGGAGAATTTGAAAGACCCAAACCGGAGGAATGGCGTCCAGGGGATAGAGCGCCTGTTCGCCGACCTGAGGATAACTTAAAACCAGAAGGTGATTTTGAGCGTCGAAAGCCAGAAGAATGGCAACCTGGAGATAGAGCTCCAGTACGACGGCCACAAGATAATTTAAAACCTGAAGGAGATTTTACAACTCCAGAGAAAACTTCTTGGAAACCTTCTGAACGGCAAAAACCTATTAAGCCGGAAGACAATCTCAAACCAGAAGGAGAATTTACAACTCCGAAAAAGGAAGACTGGAAACCTGCCGAAAGACCTCAACAGAAAAAGCCTTTAGATAATCTAAAACCTGAAGGAGACTTCACATCACACAGCACAAAAACTGAAGATTTCAAAGTTGTTATTGGCGAAAGGGCAGAAATTGTTCGACGAACTGACAATATTATCACTGAAGGAGAGTTCATAGGTAATAATCATTTTTTTATAATTTAAGGATATGCTTTCTACGTCTATCAAATATAACAAATTTTCTTACACATGTACTTGTATTCTTTAATTATGTATCAGTAATTAATGTTTTATTTACAGATTCCACCACATCACGTTCTGAGTACACAGTAAAACCCGTGGAGAGGCCAAAACCTGTGAGGAGAAACACATGGACTAAAATTGAAGGAGAAATGATAACCGAAACAACATCACAATCTGAATACATTGATTATACTGACATCGTTGAAAGAACTTCTAAGATAACCAAAATGACAGATAATTTAATATGTGAAGGTGTTGTCGATTTTGTTACTTCAAATCAACAGGATTATTCTGAAAAAACAACAACCGTAGAACGTCCACAAAGACGTCGAACATGGACAAAAGAAGATTTTGAAAAGTTTCATTCAACAGAAAACGTAGAGACTTTAACGACTACACAAGAAGAGTATCGAACTTTGGAACAGAAAATGCCAAAGCGAGTTAAGCCTATGAAGCCTAAGGATAACCTTAAACCTGAAGGCGACTTTGAAAAACCACAACATGAAGAATGGTTTCCTGCTGAACGACCGAAACAAAAGAAACCCGAAGACAATTTACGTCCTGAGGGAGAATTTACAACTCCCGAAAAACAGCAATGGCGACCTGCTGAACGTCCTCGACAAAAGAAACCTGAGGATAACTTGCGTCCTGAAGGTGACTTTGAACAAAGAAAGCCAGATGAGTGGCAGCCTGCTGATCGTCCTATTCAAAAGAAACCGAAAGACAATCTCAAACCAGAAGGTGAATTTGAAACTCCAGAAAAGGAGCGTTGGCGTCCTGCTGAACGACCCCAACAAAAGAAACCTCAGGATAACTTACGTCCTGAAGGTGATTTTGAACAAAGAAAACCAGATGAATGGCAACCAGCCGACCGCCCAGTTCAAAAGAAACCAAAAGACAATCTCAAACCAGAAGGTGAATTTGAAACTCCAGAAAAGGAGCGTTGGCGTCCTGCTGAACGACCCCAACAAAAGAAGCCTCAGGACAACTTACGTCCTGAAGGTGACTTTGAACAAAGAAAGCCAGATGAGTGGCAGCCTGCCGATCGTCCCGTTCAGAGAAAACCAAAGGATAACCTAAAACCAGAAGGTGAATTTGAAACTCCAGAAAAAGAGCGATGGCGTCCTGCCGAAAGACCCCAACAGAAGAAACCTCAGGATAATTTACATCCTGAAGGTGATTTTGAACAAAGAAAGCCAGATGAGTGGCAACCTGCTGATCGTCCTGTTCAAAAGAAACCGAAAGACAATCTCAAACCAGAAGGTGAATTTGAAACTCCAGAAAAGGAGCGTTGGCGTCCTGCTGAACGACCCCAACAAAAGAAACCTCAGGATAACTTACGTCCTGAAGGTGATTTTGAACAAAGAAAACCAGATGAATGGCAACCAGCCGACCGCCCAGTTCAAAAGAAACCAAAAGACAATCTCAAGCCAGAAGGTGAATTCGAAACGCCAGAAAAGGAGCGTTGGCGCCCTGCTGAACGACCCCAACAAAAGAAGCCTCAGGATAACCTACGTCCTGAAGGTGACTTTGAACAAAGAAAGCCAGATGAGTGGCAGCCTGCTGATCGTCCTGTTCAAAAGAAACCGAAAGACAATCTTAAACCAGAAGGTGAATTTGAAACGCCAGAAAAGGAGCGTTGGCGCCCTGCTGAACGACCCCAACAAAAGAAGCCTCAGGATAATTTACGTCCTGAAGGTGACTTTGAACAAAGAAAGCCAGACGAGTGGCAGCCTGCCGATCGTCCCGTGCAGAGAAAACCAAAGGATAACCTAAAACCAGAAGGTGAATTTGAAACTCCAGAAAAAGAGCGATGGCGTCCTGCCGAAAGACCCCAACAGAAGAAACCTCAGGATAATTTACATCCTGAAGGTGATTTTGAACAAAGAAAGCCAGATGAGTGGCAACCTGCTGATCGTCCTGTTCAAAAGAAACCAAAAGACAATCTCAAGCCAGAAGGTGAATTTGAAACGCCAGAAAAGGAGCGTTGGCGCCCTGCTGAACGACCCCAACAAAAGAAGCCTCAGGATAACTTACGTCCTGAAGGTGACTTTGAACAAAGAAAGCCAGATGAATGGCAGCCCGCTGATCGTCCTGTTCAAAAGAAACCGAAAGACAATCTTAAACCAGAAGGTGAATTTGAAACTCCAGAAAAGGAGCGTTGGCGCCCTGCTGAACGACCCCAACAAAAGAAGCCTCAGGATAACCTACGTCCTGAAGGTGACTTTGAACAAAGAAAGCCAGATGAGTGGCAGCCTGCTGATCGTCCTGTTCAAAAGAAACCGAAAGACAATCTTAAACCAGAAGGTGAATTCGAAACGCCAGAAAAGGAGCGTTGGCGCCCTGCTGAACGACCCCAACAAAAGAAGCCTCAGGATAACCTACGTCCTGAAGGTGACTTTGAACAAAGAAAGCCAGATGAGTGGCAGCCTGCTGATCGTCCTGTTCAAAAGAAACCGAAAGACAATCTTAAACCAGAAGGTGAATTTGAAACGCCAGAAAAGGAGCGTTGGCGCCCTGCTGAACGACCCCAACAAAAGAAGCCTCAGGATAATTTACGTCCTGAAGGTGACTTTGAACAAAGAAAGCCAGACGAGTGGCAGCCTGCTGATCGTCCTGTTCAAAAGAAACCGAAAGACAATCTTAAACCAGAAGGTGAATTTGAAACGCCAGAAAAGGAGCGTTGGCGTCCTGCTGAACGACCCCAACAAAAGAAGCCTCAGGATAACCTACGTCCTGAAGGTGACTTTGAACAAAGAAAGCCAGATGAATGGCAGCCTGCTGATCGTCCTGTTCAAAAGAAACCGAAAGACAATCTTAAACCAGAAGGTGAGTTCGAAACTCCAGAAAAGGAGCGCTGGCGTCCAGCTGAACGACCCCAACAAAAGAAGCCTCAGGATAACTTACGTCCTGAAGGTGATTTTGAACAAAGAAAGCCAGATGAATGGCAGCCTGCTGAACGTCCTGTTCAAAAGAAACCGAAAGACAATCTTAAACCAGAAGGTGAATTTGAAACTCCAGAAAAGGAGCGCTGGCGTCCTGCTGAGAGACCCCAACAAAAGAAGCCTCAGGATAACTTACGTCCTGAAGGTGACTTTGAACAAAGAAAGCCAGATGAATGGCAGCCTGCTGATCGTCCTGTTCAAAAGAAACCGAAAGACAATCTTAAACCAGAAGGTGAATTTGAAACTCCAGAAAAGGAGCGTTGGCGTCCTGCAGAAAGACCTCAACAGAAAAAACCTGAAGACAATTTACGACCTGAAGGAGATTTTGAACAAAGAAAGCCAGATAAGTGGCAACCTGCTGATCGTCCTGAACAAAAGAAACCAAAAGATAATCTTAAACCTGAAGGTGAATTCGAAACTCCAGAAAAAGACAGATGGCGCCCTGCCGAACGTCCACAACAGAAGAAACCTGAAGACAATTTACGACCTGAAGGTGACTTTGAACAACGGAAACCAGATGAGTGGCGCCCAGCCGACCGTCCCGTGCAAAAGAAACCAAAAGACAATCTCAAACCAGAAGGTGAATTTGAAACTCCAGAAAAGGAGCGTTGGCGTCCTGCTGAACGACCGCAACAGAAGAAACCTAAGGATAATTTACGTCCTGAAGGTGACTTTGAACAAAGAAAGCCAGACGAGTGGCAGCCTGCCGATCGTCCCGTGCAGAGAAAACCAAAGGATAACCTAAAACCAGAAGGTGAATTTGAAACTCCAGAAAAGCAGCATTGGCGTCCTGCAGAAAGACCCCAACAGAAAAAACCTGAAGACAATTTACGACCTGAAGGAGATTTTGAACAAAGAAAGCCAGATAAGTGGCAGCCTGCTGATCGTCCTGTACAAAAGAAACCAAAAGATAATCTTAAACCTGAAGGTGAATTCGAAACTCCAGAAAAAGACAGATGGCGGCCTGCCGAACGTCCACAACAGAAGAAGCCTGAAGACAATTTACGACCTGAAGGAGATTTTGAACAACGGAAACCAGATGAGTGGCACCCAGCCGACCGTCCCGTGCAAAAGAAACCAAAAGATAATCTTAAACCTGAAGGTGAATTTGAAACTCCAGAAAAGGAACGTTGGCGTCCTGCAGAAAGACCCCAACAGAAGAAACCGGAAGATAATTTAAGACCAGAAGGAGACTTTGTGCAAAGAAAACCAGATGAATGGAAACCAGCAGACCGTCCTGTTCAAAAGAAACCTGTAGATAATCTAAAACCCGAAGGCAAATTTGAAAAACCGAAACAACCTGAATGGCAACCCGCTGAACGGCCAAAGGCGAAAAAGCCAGAAGATAACCTAAAACCAGAGGGAGATTTCAATACTCCCAAACGTGACAAATGGCAACCAGCTGAAAGGCCTGAAGTAAAGAAACCTAAGGATAACTTAAAACCTGAGGGTGAATTTGAAAAACCAAAACCCGAAGAATGGCAGCCAGCTGAGAAACAAACACCCAAAAAACCACAAGATAATCTGAAACCAGAAGGTAATATGGAAATTATTCGTCGTACTGATTATGTGGTTACAAAAGGTGATCGCGCTGATATCGTAAAACATGAGGATCACTTGAAAATGGAAGGTGTTATTGATATACGTCGTTCAAGAGATGATTACAAACGTATTGAAAAGACAGAGAAAGTAGTTATACAGAAGCATGAAGACAATTTAAGGACTGAAGGTAAATTTTACACACCAGAAGTAGTTCCATCTCAACCTGCTGAGAAACGCAAGCCTTTTAAACATGTCGATAATATAACTCTTGAAAGAGAGACGGACACACGGTTTAAACAAAACGTTGATCGAGTAGATATTATACGAAGGGAAGATAATCTTAAAATAGAAGGCGAATTTATAGATATGAAACAACGAAATGATTATAGTTCAGTTAAAGGAGACAGAACTGCAATAGTTAAGCATGAGGACAATCTCAAAATGGAAGGTACAATGGAGAATACACGTTCTTCAGACACCTACAGGGTTGTAAAGGGTCAAAGAGTAAAATTGACAAGAAGAGAGGATAACCTTAAAATTGAAGGTGTTTTCGAAGATCATATTAGAAGAAATGATTTTAATAAAACGACCAAGAATGTAAAGTCTGCTATAACATATGATACTAGTGATCAAAAAATTGTTAAAGATAGGGTTCAAGGTTCACCGAAAGAACAATATGAAACTTCGCCAATAAACAAGATGCCAACTAATAAAGATACAACATATCTTATTAACGAAAGTGTTGATTCCGGATCTACAACAAAAGTTGTGCGGTACTATGAGAGTGACAATACACATCATGTAACATCGTCTGATTCTTCTAAATCTCAACGCACCGAGACCATAAAAACTACTGACATTAAAAAGACACAAAGAGGTCCTTATGATAAGGAAAGGCCAAAAGAAGTCTATGATTCAGGTGATTTTGTACCCGAGAAGGTTTATCCAGAAGGTAGTGTTGAGCCAAAGGACGAAGTTGGCCATCTGAAAAGAGCGCAAATGCCAACAAATAAAATATCAAGCCCTATACAGCCAAAGGAAAATAAACGCCCTGATGATGAGACTGATTCGTCAAAAAGGCCACAAGGTGAAATTCAGCGCCCTACAGGTTCACAATGGCAACCGAACGATAGAAGTAGCCCGATTCGACCAAAAGATAATTATCCAATTGAAGATGGTAAAGACACTCCAAGAAAATCTGATAGGGAAACAGATTTTCCACAAAGACGAGCTCAATGGCAGCCAGGCGACAGAGCGAGCCCCTTCCGACCAAAGGATAATTTACATATTCCAGATATTAAAGGAAGTTCAAGACCCGATGGTGAATCTGATCATCCTCAAAGAAGTCAATGGCAACCTAGTGACAGAGCGAGTCCTATTCGACCACAAGATAATTTGCATGTTCGAGATAGTAAAGACAACTTAACAAGGCCGGAAGATGGGTCAGATTATCCTCAAAAATCCCAATGGCAGCCTGGTCAAAGAGCTACTCCAGTTCGACCAAAAGATAATTTACATACTTCGGACAACAAAGACACAAGAATGTTTGACGACGGATCAGATCATCCACAAAGACCTCAATGGCAACCTGGTGAAAGAGCAAGTCCTATTCGACCAAAAGACAATTTACATATTCAAGATAATAAAGACATTACAAGAAAGTTTGATGACGGATCGGATCATCCTCGAAGACCTCAATGGCAACCTGGTGAAAGAGCAAGTCCTATTCGACCGAAAGACAATTTACATACTCAAGACCATAAAGAATCTCCGAAGAGACCCGAATACGAAACAGATTTAAGTAAACCAGAAAAACCAAGAGGAATTTCCGGACCAGGTCAAGTGAGGCACATTTCTGATATAAGTAAATACGATTCCAGGACTACTACTTCTACTGACGATACCCATAATATTGATAGTAGCAATCAGACTTTACATACATCAAAAGTAAGCAAGAGTGATGTACACCAAGAAAGCAATGTGAAAATGACTCATTCGGAAATATCTTCCAAACATACTAATATTCGTAGTTCTAATGTAGAACATTTGGATCATTCTAAAACCGGAACACAAACACAACATTTCGTCACAAACAGGGATAGGAATGAGAGTGGTAGATCAATTGATGTTCACAAACAAACGGATAATTTATCACGCCAAGACGTTAGCAGTCGTGATCATACTAATCGTGTAACTTCGAAGAATACTACAGAACGCAACATCATAAAACAAGATGTAAAACAAAGCAAAACTATGTCTTCCGTAACCAAAACTATGAAACAAGTGACCGAAAAGAAATTGATTGGAGGTAAATGGGTAAATGTAACCAGAAATGTAGAAGTTTCTAACACCAGTCTCGGCGACACCCATTCAAATAGAAATGGTCACATTGTTAGTTCCTCTACACCAAATAAGCAGATAAACTCTATGGACAAAGTGGTTACCTCCGACAGCAGAAATAACTTACAAAATCAAACACATTCTTCAAATACAACGTATATTATAGAAGGTAGACACGATGTTAATCATAATGTGAATCAATCCTCACAGCGGTCTGTTTCTGAAAACCAATATGTAAATCAAAATCTTCAAGGAAAATCACGTAACGCAATCATTTCAGAACAACATGTTGATATCTCATCAAGTCAAAATCATCAAATTGGACAACATAGCTATGTATCATCTGATGTTCGATCCAGCGAACACAGTTCCAAGTCAGTGCAACACGGAAGAGAAACAATTCATTCTAATACAAATATAAAACATGGTAATACGAAAATAAACACCGAAGCAAATGCTAGAAGAAACCAATTTAATGAAAGTCATGATATTTTGAATCAAAATACAAATGTAAATCAAACACATTACAACACTCAATCGGGTGGAAGTAATATTGATGGCAGGTCAAGGAACGTGATATCCAGTCACACTGAGAATAATATATCAAGATCATCTTCAACACACCAATCTCACACAGTAAACCGTAGCCATTTGAGTGATAGTGTGACTAAAACAAGTATGGAATTCCAACGAGCTATGCATGGTGGTGGAGACGTTTCAGTTACCTCCAATGAAAACACTGCACGTATTGGTCACCACAAACGTACTTCCGATTTGGTATCAGATGCTTCTAGCACTAACGCTGTTCTTCATAGGAAGGGAATAACTTCTACGACAGAAGCACAACATTCGATAAGTTCTACAGCTGCTGCTCAACGTAAAAGTATAATAAATCTCAGTGACCGCGGTGAATATATAAGTAATTCAACCCATAGTGCTGACAGAAAAAGTATTAGCTCCATGCACCGATCAGGTCGCGATAACGTTGTATCACACAGTTCTGAAAATGTCGATGTAAGACGTCAGCAAAAAAGAGATGGTGAATCTACTTTGATTATTGAGCGACAACCTAGAGTGGTATCAAGAGACAATCTCCGAGTGGGTGGTGAATTTTATGGTCATTCTGAAGCTCGTTCCTATGGTAACTTTTCGAGGTCCGACCACACTGCGAGATCTGAACGCACGGAGAGAGTGGAACGACAGACGAGGACTGGTACAACATCGCATTTCGTATTAGGAGATGGCAGTTCAAGCTACAAAAGGGAATACACAACGCATGTCCATGGCACTTGTCCGGCCACACTGATTGAATCTCCCCGCACTCCGTTCAAACATACACGCGATTCACGCGAGCACAAATTTTATACCGCGAAAATAACTCAACAAAAGTCATAACAAGTACTATATATGTATCTGAATAACTTTCCTAACAACAAGAAAATATCATTCCTCACTTATTATTGCTATAAAAATATAAAGATATATTTATTAAAAGTTAACAATACTAGTCTTAAGAATTATATCGTTGTGCCTCCTAATTATATAATCGTTTATGCATAATATTGATAAAAAATGTAATATTCGTAACATTTATATGTATTGCTATATTTTTCTTTTTTAAACATTGCCATGTAATAAATTTTATATTTAATACCTTCGACTTTTATTTATAAATCCTTATTTTTTTATTACTATTTTATCACATTGTTTTACATTGGGAATGAATTACCGTCCATTTAATTTATTATATGATTGTGTATAAAAATGAATGCTAGATACAATAGTAAATAACAGAATTTTAATAAATATGAAAATCTTAATTATCTGTTAAAACCAGTTTTAAAGACGGTGGTAAAAAAAGTAATGAGACCCAATCAAAATCTTGTTTAAAATTTTAACAATTTATCACTGTATAGATGAAATACAATCACCACTTTTGCAATAATTAATCATAACAATATAGAGAAGATATATAGAACTCATAAATAAACCTATAAATTATCATCCTATTAATTTAAAAGGGGTTTCTACATTCCTGTAATATTATTCTGCAAGTATTTGTACGCCTTTCATAAGATTGCAGCTGTTAGTGTAGAAATAAAAAACATTTTAGACTTAGATGATGAAATAAATGGCTAATAATAACCGGAAATATACTTGGAGCAATTTAACTGAATCAGTAAACTTTATTTCTTTTAATTCCCTAAATTATTTTTTTTCTGGTCTCCAAAGTCTCGTAATTAAACAGATTCCATATTTTTATTCTTTGTTGCAATAGGTTTTCGAGTTAATTAAAAAGTACATCTAATTTGTTTGCCGTAGTTAAACGAAATATAATGAATTTTATCGTTTTGGTTTGCAAAAATATATATTATTTATAATTAATTATTGGAATGATTGTAAAAAAAAGGAAAAGGTTTCGAAATGACCCATATTTTCTAAATATTTAGTTTAAGGATCTAAACTAAACTTATCTAATTAAAGAATCTGTTTCTAAATAACCCAAAGAACAAGACATATAAAAGAATATTTATTATCTAAAACATTAACTTTAACAGTCTAGTTATCAAACAATGCTAAATTCTTATACAAAGATTCCTTGTAATTTAAAACTAAAAAACATTTATAAGCTAATATTCATTATTACAAATAGTATTAGTCTTGTTGTATTGGGGCGTCTTTAATTTGTCTTATCCTTTTAAAACGACTGTTATCTCCTTCATAATTACGTGAAATTGGTCCGAAAGCTTCCTCTTCTCGGTAATTGTGTACGTTAATAGAATTATCCGACACAGCATTGTTCAAGTCATCTAACGACCCTGCAGTTCGACCATTCCTATTTAATTGAACTTCGTGTGAATTATCTAAATCAGATATAACTTCGGTTCTTTTGTTTCGCATCCCGCTGTTGTACATCAAGTTATCGTCAATACCTTCAACGCCTGAAAGAACGCTATCTGTATCGGAGCCCAGACACGCTTTACCTGTTTCAGCATTTATGTCCTTCCCTGAATGTTCGATTGGATTGAATTTTAAATCCCTTCCATATATTTCGGGGTTTTCATGAGCGACTTTATCTTGTCCATTACTATTATCTTCGCTTCTCTCATAGTTTGAAGAGCGGTCGAGTATGCCATAATCTTCCATTTCACTTCTTTCGTCGTTATCTGAACCTCCGCTTTCAACTCCAGGAGAAAATGGTACCTTCATGTTTGAGAGACTATTCGCGTCCCTTTTATTACAGGAGTGATCTTTTTCAGTCCTCTTTACCCTGATTAAAGGCGACAAAGACTCTCCAGTAGTGTCACTGCTAAACGATTCTTCCAATGATTGTATCGAACCATTTAATTCTGAAGGGTTCTCATCACTGACTTCCCTTTTATTTGTATTCGTTTTTAATTCGTCGCCTTTCTGTGACATGAGTTCATCATTTTCAACGCACAATTCATCTTTCAAATCAGCATTTTCCACATTATCTGCAGCATTCTCATTTTCATTGGAGTATTCAGCCGTAACGATTTCACGTTTATTTTCACTTTTCACAGACTCTTCTTCTTTTACATTATCTTCGCTATTAACGTATCCGACATTTAAATTGGTTTCCTTAGAGTTAATAAACAAAGATTTATCCTGTGGTTTTCCAGACTCATTTTCACTTTCTGAACTTTTTGTGTTTTCAACCTCTCCTATGTCCGTATGCTTACTAATATCTGTAGTATCGGTACTAGAAGAAAACGGTGGCTCCGAAGTAGTACTAGAGTCTAATAAGAAGCCTCCTTCGTTTTTACTGGTGTCGGATTGACCACCCTCTAAATAGTTTTCTTCTACAGCACCTGCCTTCTTTGTAATTTCTCTTTTTTCCATAATTTTTTTCAAAATATTCTTTTTATCCTCCGGTAAGGAATTTAGAAGTTCTTCTAAATCTTGCTCAGATAATTTCTTTATGTTTTTAATAATAGATGATTCTGAATCACCTTTTGTATCAATGTCTTGCTTTTGGCTCGGCGTACTGTTATTATCAGTGACTTCAGCGTTTGGAGCTTGCCTTCGATTTCTATTAATTTCAAGCTCATATTTTCTATTTCTATAGCCGCTACTTCTCAATTTATGTGAGTTTTCTATTTCTTTTGCTCTTCTATATTGCTCACGGGGTTGTTGATCATTTATATATTCAATTTTGTCTGCGATGTATCCCTCCTGTTTAACTTTAAAAAGCGGCTCATCGACATAATCAGAACTAAAAGGTTTTTCTTTGATGTTAGTGTCACCTAATTCAGTATTCTTTTTATAATGCTCGGCATCTTTATTTATTTTTTCAGCATCTACTTCTTCATTTGTTTCCTCGTTATCGGTGTCTGTTTTTAAATGTTCTACATTCGCTATTGTTTTACGTTGTCGCTGCCTATCGGTATTTGATTTTCCAGATAACTGTAAAATCAAATTCACCATTTGATTCATCATTAGTTAAAACAATTTTTGATATATTGAATCACAATATATCAAAAATTGTTTGAATGAATAATGAATATATCAAAAATTGTTTGAATTGTTTTAATGAACGATACTACAAGACTATTTGGTGACCTAGGTTGGCGATTTAATAAAAAAAGTGCTAAATATACTTACTTCTTCATATCTATTCCGAGTATGGTGACGATCAGGTACGAGTTTTAAATTACGCTTTAAATCTTGAGCTACAGGGGCTTCATTTCTGTTTTGTGGTCCCTGGTTACATATAAAAGGGTTGGTTATTTCAAACCAATTTCTAAAGGTGTAGAGTAGAAACTAGTATACTGACAAATCTGAGTCTAACCAAAATTCTTTATCCTTTAAACATAAATTCTTGTGAATATTACTTTTTTTGCAAATGTCGTACGTTATGGTACAGACGACTAGTTTTTATAAGTACACAGTGAAATGCGAGTCAATTCAAGTACCCACCTCATCTAAACCTTCATCTTCTTGATATTCATCAGATGCAGTGTCGTCGTTACTACTATATTCGGAATCACCTATTTCACTGAAAGAAATTGCAAATTATATTTACATTTTTCCTAAAATTTACAGAAATTCAAAATATAAGCAAAATACAACCTATTGTTGTCTTCTTCGAGTTGCAACGGTTTGCTCGTCACAAAACATGAAATCCCTAACAGTATTAACAATATTTTAAAGATATAAATTTCCATTTTCTTTCTTTCAAACACTTTCAATAATAATAATTATAAATGTATATCACGTGACGTTTGTTAAGTTTGTTAGCGGTCAATATTATATTTTTTTCATAAAAAACTCCTTAGTTTACTTTAGCTATATTGAAATGTATTCAATATAAAAATCCACCCACTACAACGATATACATTTTTAAAGCATATACTTTGATTATAAATGTGCGAAATGAGAAAACAATATCGTATTAAAGGTTTTAGTTAGTAAGATGCGTAGCAAATTATGCTTTCGAATCAAATGAAGTTAGATTATAAAATTATTTTGCATTAAATAAAAATAATTAACCGTAGTTGGTGCTACATTATTTGAAGCTAGTTATACCAGACACTTATGTTCGCTGATTGCCCAATCATGTATATCATTACAAAAACTTAGTAAAATATTGTTCTGTTTCAATATTCATACAATTTTTTTAAAAAAGGTAATCATTTTTGCAATATAAAACAGACGTAGAGATTTTTATACTGCATTTTTAAATTATATATTTCTTTTAATATCGAGAATCGTTATATGGACTTTTGTTTGGTAATTTTAATAAATCTTTTAACAGATTTATTTTCGTTTAAATAAAACCTCAAACTAATTAAGCCTCATTGGTGTCGAACTTGTCAGATTAAGAATAAATGAAAAACTATAATTCTTAAATATTAATCTTTTTATTTAAATGAGACCGTTTCATCTCTATCACACATATTATTTACATTTGGTTTAAATAAAACAAACCATTGAAACATTCATATTAACAAGTTTGTGCATATTTGAGAGAAAACATTCATATATAATTATTTATTCAAGTCATATATGAAATACATAGAAAAAGTCTACACCCAATCATACTTAGGATTTCACATATTTTTAACACCTGGATTTAAATGGAATCGAGAATAGTAAAAAAAAATTAAGACTAATAAAATATACATAATCTTATAAATTGGTCAATTGAATTATATATATGAAAATATAGAAAAAAAATTACTTAGTATTAAACTATTTATTAGTTAATATGAAAATTATTATATTCAATATTGTACCTTTAATTATCTTTGGTTAGTTATTAATGGCAAAAAAGTTAGGCCTACTTAAAAAAAATATCCTCCTTACCATACAATATCTTTTATAAAAATTTATAGCAAGAGATTGGTAAATAAAAATATTCGATTTATCAGACAAGCGGAAACCTAAGGCTTTAGGATTAAGAAAAAAAAATGTTGACTATAGATATAATACTTGCAAAAATGTTGTCTGAATAAAATAGTTAGTGAAAATATTTTATATTTCGATATTATTTTTTTAATAATTGATTGAAATTGTTTGACTGGTGTCTTAGAGTAAGCAAATTAAGTAAAAAAAATATATTAAAAAAAACTATGGAATGTTGCATCAGCGTTATTCGCCTATCTATTTCTGGAACAGAATTAATAATTGAGGTCAATAGTGGAAATAAATATTTTTTGTCATGAAATTAAAAATAATAATCTTAGGTTCCCGCAAATTCGTAATTGACATTCAATCTGCTTTGATCCATGCAGGTATGAGATAAGGAATAATATAAGAGAAATAAAAGTTAAAATCATTAGGCTTTAATAAAATTTATCTTGTGCTTTTTTTCCTTTATCACAAATATCATACATTTATACAAACTAAGACATCATACGCACCTATGTGGAATATAAAACAATAAACCTTTTGTAGGCGAGTAACAAACATCAGTTACATCCACAGATAAATAAACTTTTAACATACATATATTGTACCTGTAGATCTTTATGTGCGTTATATACTATACAACTTTTATATAATCTGTAATAAATTGTCACTGAATCGAATGAACAAAATATCTACATTGTCATTCATTCATTGAGTTTACTTATTCTTTTTATTTTTCTTGACAGATTTTTCGTAAAAAATATGTAGTAAAAAAATTATACATATCAAGTATAGCAAAAGTTTTAACACATAGTATTAAGATTGACAGATGTTCGTGATATATTTATTATATAAGTAAACTCAAAATAAAATTCTAATAGTTTTCATTAAAATCTGTACATAAATGAACATACATAGATATAAACAGACGCTAAACAATTTCTATTCCCTTTGATAATCATAACTTGATGACTAGACTTTTAAAACGTAATAACTGAGCATTAACAAAAAGAAAACAAAAAATATATTTAAACACAACTACACGATCGTCAATGTACTCGCAATATCGTAATTTGTACAAAAACTTCACATAAAAGGTGAACCCCGTCCACATACATTGCGAGCACAATGATCTACTTAAAACTAAATATTTCGATACTTACATAATAAAGTTTAACTTCGGATGTAGTTCCACTACAGAAAATGCAAATATTCGTCAACATCTATAGAGACTAACAGATTTTTTTTATATAATTTCAATTATAACACGCATTTGGACATTGAAAAAATTGACCTTAGTACTCACGATCACACGCACGTCAATACATAGATATGTTTGCGACAGAAGCTTATAAAAAATTCATTGATTTATCATATTTACAATAATATTATTTCCATACGAAAACTGAACGGGTCCTATCTAAGTTTTGATAAGTCTGTGCTGAAAGATTAACAAATACCAAAAAACGTGGTACGTGCTGTTTATACGGATCAAAGTACAGTCAATTGAGCAATCGATGAATAAAACAATTAATTTGTAATAATTATAATGATTTCAGGAATAAATCTATACAATCGACATAACGACTGTACACACTAGCTTGCAACATTAGCGTTTTAAATGCGACCTTATAACGTGAACACTTTAGAGTTTTATTTACAATACAACCGACTCGGTCTCATATAGAATTAAACTATCGAATCAGAAAAATATATATAAAAAAAATCTAATGATATTCGAGTACATATTTACAATACTTAACATATAAAAAAAAATATATATAATTCTGTACAAGGATTTTCGATAGACTTAACATAGACTATGTATAGAAAAATCTAAAATCTAAACGTACCTATGCCACCGAGTTGAAAAAAAAAACATGAGTAAAACATTAAAAACCACATTGAACACTAGCACTCTTAACGTCATTGTCCTTTGAGTGCTCATTCACACGCTGGGAATGTGTGTCGTTATGCGTCGCCGTCGCTAACATATGTAGATACAGGCGGCGACACGGTATAATCACTAGCTCAGACTTGAAACGAATTGTCATGAAGTATAGGGAGTCGAGCTCACCTCTGTACTACAAGCGGTCGAGTCGGTCGAGGCGGAACTCGTGTTCTACAGACGAATCCGGGAGTAACGAGCTAGGCTCCTCTAGTAGCGTGAGGTCGTCCAGGTCTAACCCGGCCCGCAGCTGAGCCTCCTCGCCGCCGAATATACCCGGGTCTAACTCGCCCGAGTAATCTGTTGCAGGTCAGTATTTAACGATATCATTATAAATTAAATACAATAATGTACCAAATGAAATTGTATAGAGACTCAAATTAGGTTTGTTGTGATGAACTTATACACCATCTCTTGATATATGAAATATTATTATTATATAGTATATTTAGGTTGTAGGTGTTGCATGATAACAAATACAGTGCAAACTCGATATAACAAATCGGAGGGGAACAAGAAAATATTGTTATATCAAGTAATTCGTTGAACTGAGGTTTGTTATGTTGAGGTAAGGTTGGTCTAAAATTCGTTATAAAAAGGTAAAATAATACATAGTTTTACTTACAACATTACGTAAATATCTTGTTATAGCGAACAACTTCTACTAATAAATGATAACATTTTTTATCGAATTACTACTGTTTACATACAAACCACTTTCTTCTGAAAACTTATCTTTAAATTTTAAAAATGTAGTCAATGTAGTTGTGGAAATTCCGAACTTATTAGCTATGTCTAATTTTTTCGTCATAGGATTTTGGTCAACATAGTTAATGATGTTTCGCTTTTCTGCGACCGATAAGGAACACCTTTTACGTTTCTGAGCCATTTTAACTTAAAACTTTAACAATAGTGACGAGCAGAAGTGTTTACATTACTTTTCATTAAACAACAACGATTACTTTATGAACAAAAGTGTGTTGAAACATGTCAAGACATGAATTACAATATATGATTAAGAGTTATATTATTGGTGGGAACTTTATATAAAGGTTTTGGGTTGACAAAATTCGTTAATTAGAGGTATGAATACTTTTTCTTGATAGTTGAAAATTTGTTATAAAGAGGTTGTTCGAAAAGAATGTTCGCAATTTATAGGTATATTTTATATTGAATCGTATAGACAATTCAAGGGGATTACGAAAAATTCGTTCAATCGAAGAATTCGTTATATTGAGGTATGTTGTATTAAGGTTGCACTGTAACATATAAAAAAATGTATCATAGAGTTAGCCAAAACTGTTTTAATATTATATATCATATGTTTATAACCTGTGAGTATAATGTCCGGTATTGATGCGGGCGTGGCGGGTGTAGGTGGTTGTTGAGGCGAGGCGAGTGGTTGCAGAGGTTGTAAGGGGTACGCGCCGCCCGCCACCGGGTCACGCGCACGACGCGGCTCCACCGACGGGGACGAGTGGCCGCTGTGACATGGCTGGGATGACTGGAATTATATAAAGACACGTGTATAAATGATCATACCACGAAATACATATTTGATATTACACGCACACACACACGAGTATAAACCTTGATACATGTATACAACACGTACACACACACGCATATAAACCAATACAAATAACAAAATGTAGTCTCTGTCGAGTTTATATCTATACCAACAAAAAAAATTTTAGTCAAATAAAAACTAATATTTTTATTTATATATTTCGGAAGAGACATCTAATCAGCTAATGATCACGGTTGCTGCAATGTAACCGAAACGTCGAGAGCATATTGTTAAAAATAATGATAAACGTGTAGTAAATCCGAATAATATTAATTTATTTCAATGAATACTAGTGAAAATCTAAATCTCATCAAAATTGAGTGTCTGCTTTGTTTTAAACTAACAAAACTATACTGAAACTTTTTATTTTTATTTTGTCTGTCTCTTTGTTCTGACTAATCTCAATAACGGCTGGATCGATTTTGACAGGAATTAAGCTACAAGATAGCTGATGAAATAAGTACTGATTTCGTATTCTTTTCTATTTTATTCAATATAAAGTCACCTGTGTGTAAGTGTGCGTTGAGTTCGTCGTCTGTTGCGAGTGTGAGCTATGGTTGATGTACGTCGTGTTGTAGTTCGATGTCGGCGCGTCGAGCTGTGGAGAATATTTGATAACAATGAATAACAAACACATATAAACATTACAAGCTAGATATTTAATAAAAAGGCTAGAACCATAACGAGACATCAACTAAATATACCATGGAAACAAAGCGAATTAAAATAAAATATTCTTTAAACAATACAAAATAAATTATTTGTATACGAATTTCAGCTAATTATAAAAAATGCATGCTGAGCCTAGGAAAAAAAATAGAAAAGCCATGCTTCGTGTGCTCACAGCTTTATATCTAATCTATTATTGTATCGCCTGAACTTAAAGCGAAATACAACGGCGTAGCATGCTCAAAAGATTTACAATATTTACTTGTTTATAATTTATATTAATGTACGCGGAGACCTTGAAAATTACAATAGCTTTAGAACATATATTGCTGGACTGAATTTATTTTTTTATTTATAATCTAGTTATTTCTATGCTATAGTAGTTTTCAAGATGCGAATAAAAGTAATACAAAGAAAAAAATACATTAAAAAAATACGATTCACCGCAATAATAGTGCGTTTATAATAAACTATTGAAATAGTGCGACCTTCTATCGTTAGGCTTTAGTCTGATCGTTGATACGGAATAGGGATGTCATGGAACGATGATTAATAATAATCAAATACGATCTTTTTTAGATATTTAAAAAAACCGTTAAAAAATAATTGAGAAGTAATTTCAAAACTGTATTGTATTTTTTATTCAATAACAGTCTGTTTCAATTTTTTATATCATATCTATCTTTTATATAATTACGTTCTATCTATCTTTTATATAATTACGTTAAAGCTCTCCATAACATCCCTGACATGAATTTAAAAAATAATTACAATTAAATTATTAACCGACTTCGAAATTGGAGTCTCATCAATTGAACTATACATACAGAACATAAACCATAAAAACAATAAAAAATATATAGACAAAATCTATATAATCAATATGCATCATATTTTTTCTTATCAATACATTTTTTAAATTAAACTGGCACATCATGCCCATAAACAAAAATCCCTAACATTATTCATATTCCACTGACGCATTAAATACTTTTTGTTTTGTTTGTTTTTTTTTTATTGAAGTCGGTTATTTCTTTTTAATCTGTATTCTATATTCCGATCAGACCAATCCTCTACCAAACTGGTATGTCAATATGCCGTACGTTATCCGGCACGTGGACGTGCGCGGTCCAGCCCGACTCCACGAGACTCTGCACCAGCTGCGCCCAATCCTTGGCCAACATCCACCAATTTTACACACACATAGTGGCACATAACAATGTTGGGATTACCGTTTATATGTAGAAACTCGATAAACCGGACTAATTAGATTAACTGGTAGAGATCTCTTTTAAGAGATAAGTTATCCTTTGTAATTCACATTTCTTTTATAATACTTTAATTGTAAATATTTTTTTCCTTTTTGGTACATAAATAAATAAATAATTGTTGTCGATAGGCATTCGGATAATCGCATGTATGAAGAAAATCCGGTTTTGTGCTCATGTGGTTCATAATATTATATGTTTATTTAAAAATAAATTACAATACGTATTTGTTAATTTGCAATTGGTAATCTTCTATATATATAAAAATGGATTGCTGTTCCTTAGTCTCGCTAAAACTCGAGAACGGCTGAACGGATTTATCTTATCTTAGTCTTGAAATGTTGGTGGAGGTTCAGGGAAGGTATAAAAGCTGAAAAAAACTGATTCATTACTGGGAAAACCATAAAAACAGCCCTTTTCTATTTCCCATACAAACGTTTTTTTTTGACATTAGATTTGACAACTAACTAAGTAATATGTCAATCATTCTGTCGCACTTTTGAGCACGGAGGTAAACTTCAAAAATATAAATAAAAAAACGTAATAGATATTTCTTGATTATAGGGCGATACGAAGTTCGCCAGGTCTTCTAGTCATGAATTAAATTAATGAGTTTAATTTGGTTTAGAATATTTGGTCATTGTCATTTAAAGTACTCAACTCTCTTTCGCTTGTCAGTAGCCCGGATAATCGCGAATCCGTATAACTGAGGGCCGGATAATCGAGTTTCTACTTAATATATTCAACACAATAAATAGTAAACCCATACAATGGTTAGATAGCACGATTCTTTTTAATAAATTAGGTAAATATATTTATTTGTTATTGATATATTCAATTTACCTAATTTTCATTCGTTGCACGTTTTACATGTATTTTATTAATTTTCTATTATTATCTGTGCGTTTGATGATTTTATCGATGTGCCTAAAACTATTTGCTGTCATGTGTTTGCTCTCTTTGAACTGCAAGTGCTCGTTCTCTAGTATATATATAATTTAAATATTTTTGTTATATATCAACTATACTATTTCATTTCTGTAAAGCCATTTATATTCATATAAAACTAGTATTACTCACAACTCCTTGCTATTCCATTGAAGCATTGAAATTTTAAAACAATAAATAATATTGCAAATTTAAGTGTAAATTTGCAATAATTAATATTTATATTGGCAAAAATATAAGGATTAGAATTTAACTATTAAATTATTCTATATTAAAAAGTTGAATCTTGAAAAGAAACAGTTCCTTAACAATTACATATTATTTTAATTGATATTATGTAATCCATTTATATTATTAATTGCAAAAGTATCTATGGAACAGTTCTTTAACATTAACGATAAATTAAAATGAATTAATTATGATTTCTTAACCATTTTAAGGAGAACCGGTTAAGAGACAGTTCCTTAAGCATCCCAATGGTTTGTATGAAATGGTTTCTTAGTATCTATAATTATCTATACATATATTCTCACCATGGTAATCTGTTCAAATGGCTGTAACAGCGCCTGGTGGAGGTTCGTGTAGTCCGTCTGAGGTGACTCGCCAGGACTGCCGGGACTGTGTACCATCTGAAATGATATTGCAATTAACATTATAGTTTACTATCATAATATATATTTATGGGTCATGTTATACTGGACACATGTTTGATATGCTTATTAACAACTAACAGGACATCATTGTATTCAAATTTCGTACTTTAAAATCACTTTCAATCGTCTGAATTAAAAAACAAAATAAAAGAATATATATCTTGTATGCACGATGTAGTCAGTGGTGGCCTAGTGGTTAAAGGGCCCGCCTCTCGTTGCCGAGGACGCGGGTACGATCCTGGCAAGTACCAATGTGATTTTACGGAGTCATATGTTTCTTTCTGAGAGAATTTAGACACCACTGACATACGGTGAAGGAAAACATCGTGAGGAAACCTGGACTTATAGTTTCACAATTATAAGTTTGAAATCACCAACCCGTCTTGAGCAAGCGTGGTGATTAATGCTCAAACCTTCTCCATGTGAGAAAGAGGCCTTTGGTCAGCAGTGGGCTCTGATAGGCTGATGACATGCACTATGACTAAAACTTATCATTGGTGGTTTATTTATATACTTACCGTAGGTGAGGGTATATTTATATTTGACGTTGATGAATATTGTGACGGCGGACTACAGTGTGACTGATAGTTTGACGTCATCCAACTGTGGTTCAACGGCGACATGTTCTGGAAACGAATGGAATAAATCATTTACTTACATTGTAATTATATCAGTTTTCAGTAAGTATTAGTAAGCGTGATTATAGATTTCGTTGGCTTGTATTAAATAAAATGTGGTAGAAGATAGAAAAGTAGTAGAAGATAGGATAATCCTGTTAATAGTTTAAGGATATAAAGCCGTGTTCACACTGGAGATGCGGCTAAATTACAAGTTGTAATAGTAATTAATCATTTTTAAAATGATACAGACATTATCTTGTTCATCTCCAATGTATCCACAGCCTTATATAATAGAAATTGTCCATACAGTAATATATTCTTTTGAATCAATTTTTTAAAATAAAATATATACACATTTAGAAAGCTGAAAAATATCAAAAAGATATGTTATAATAAAATATTCGAATCATGCAGTTAAGAAATGAAAATTTATGCAATTATATTTATTGCAGTAACAGAATAAACTTATTTAGAAAATATAAGGCCGGATACACACTATTGGAGTTCGATTCGTTTTGTGTTGTTTAAAAAATATATAATTAATTATTTAATAATAAATGAATGCATTCTAACAATACAGTCGTCTGTACAATATTCCACTACAGTATTTTATATGAATGCTATCATTTTACGCTCGTATTACCCGCTTGTGTGAATCCGGCCTAATTGCCATGCCTGAATAAAAGTGAGATTCAATATAAAATAACTTTATACGTCTTATATACTCAACACATATAACATAAAATATTAAAATAAAATTTTTATATAAACGATCTATTGTAAATATTTAGGCGTTCTTAAAAAAAAAGCTCCCATATTATTTATTAATTGCAAAGCTGTACATGCAAGTCCTTATACTTATATTAGTTATTTATATGGCGTTCATATTAAAAAGTCAGCGTTCGATTTATTGTGACGTTGCATATCACAAAGACGGAAGCACCGAAGCGAGTTTCTGAACGAGAATGATGAATTAGAAAAAAAAAATATTTAAAAAAGGAGGTTACAAAAGAAAACGAACCTTATTATGATGAAGATAATTATTTGTGTTTGGTACAGATAAGTGACTCTGAAATAAACAAAAATGACTCGTGTTGAAAGCAAATAAACACAACGGAAAAAAACAAATCAAATGTTAAACATCATAACGGGAAGCATTTCAACTATTATGTATTTAATATTATATTATTATTAATATTTTAAAAAATCATTTCATCCATTAATATAGTTATATTTAAATGACGTCACTTAGCATATTTACATTTATACTTAATCTCAATTTCTATACATCCGTTATATGTTCGAATGACCTAACCATTATGACTTATTTATTTAGTTCATTATGAGTCACCGCGTTTAATACACTAAGTGCAGAACAGAACACAAAAATAAAAATGAAGCTACTTATACATCATACACAAACACATCGCCTACGACCTATGCAGTGCCGGCGTTAGGGGGGGCGCGCGAGGGGGGACCCCTGAGAAATTTCGGGGGGCGATTAGTGGAGATAGGATACTTATAAATGAAAAAATAGGAGCTACATAAAAATAAAATAGGAGCTACATAACTTTCAGGTCACGCTAAAGGAAAGATGGTAGATGGAATATAGAATTCTTAATACACGTTCATTGCTCACATTGGTTCAGAAAAAAATTAATACTCGATTTTGATTTCTTCAAGTGGGCGCCAAAATATTCTTGAACAGGGTGTCAGTCCCTCTAACGCCGGCACTGGACCTATGAGTGTATTGTATATTGAGGTGAGTGATGACGTACTTGTGTTTCATATATAGGGTGTTCGTGCATCGTCGCTAGCGGCACTGTGGCTCCTACCGGTGAGCCGGACTGGGGGGAGAGGCCCCCTGTAGCGGGGGACACGCTGCCACCGCCGGGGGACACCGCGCCCGGGGACGTGGGGCTCTGGTGACCAGCCGTTATAATCACCATCATACACGAATAAACTTATGTACTGATAGATCGTTTTCTTTAATCGATTTTGATTTGATAGTGCTCGACTATCATTCATTAATGTATGTGAAAATGAACCGCCGTTATAATCACCATCATACACCAATAAACTTATGTATTGATAGATCGTTTCTTTTTAATCGATATGGATTGGATAGTGCTTGACTAAAGACTATCTATCATTCATTAATGTATGTGAAGGTGAAGGAGCATTTCAGTATTACGTAACACAATTTTTGAAGATTTTTGACACCCTCTCCTTGCTCTTTTTGTAACGTTTTTCTTTACATCCTTCCCACTCAAGTGACCATTTTAACCCTAAAGTCGTAAAAAGTTAGTTTCACAGTCATCTATCCATTTAACAACAGTGCATTTCGTCACTCTTGTAAAATGTGAAATAAATCCCACAGGTGGGACTGTGGGATTTTAGGATAAATGAATTCATAAGGCCTATGTTTAAACCCTTCTGTAGCAGGTGACAAATCAACAGACAACCCAATCTATTAAAGCCCTGTGACATATAAACGAAACGAATTGCCAACTTGCGAGAACAAATAAAAAAGACGACTAGACTAATACTATCTAGCTTCAACGTAAAACGTAAATGATGAGAGTTGCCAATTTGGAAGTTTCTATTCCCTAATTTGAAAAGAAAACAATACTGTAACGCTTCGTAACGTTTCAAACCCCCCCTCCCTGAACTTGCGTTACGTAAGACTTGAACGCCACCTAACGCACTATTCCCCTAATAGCCTATCTATACATTGTTGTCTTTAAGACGGCCAAGTTTTAAGTGGAAGGTAACACAAGCCTAGGCAATTTTTTACAATACTTTGATGTAATATGATGATTAAGGAAGTGCATAATTTGGTTCATACCCTCAGAAGGTCTACAAAGTATGGATACCGCTGTCGGTTAACTCATCCGAGAATAAAATGAGTATTCAGGAAATACATACTGCAATTCCTGAGTACACTCTTAAAAGTATTTTCTGTAGATTTAGTATCTTTAATGAGTAATTATTGCTATAGTATTTGTACATTATGTATAAGGTATGGTACAGTTTAATTTGATAATATATGTGTTCATTGTAACACTTGTTCCTAGCACTATATTGCGATTATATAACATTTTATATGTTACTCCAACAAAAATCTAATTAATTGTGTTTTTATATAGGTTAAATAGTTAAGTAATTTTCAACGTACACACACATTGACTGCCACCAACAGTTCAACGACATTACAAATACATACATAGAATGTGTACATGGTTGTGTCAGACACTTACAACACAATACATAAGACACTTATACATGTAAAATATTACAATAAATCTACTAAAACAAAATTCACAAAAACCTTACATATAAATCCAAATGTAGTTGTGTATAAATAGTTGAATTAAAAACTGCTCAATATTCTTAACTCATTAACAAAACGTCCTAGCAATGTAGTCTTATAAAATAAGTGTAGAATATTTGAGAAAATCAGATAAATTTGTACTATGAAGTTAGTTATACATACAAGTGTATGTAGCATATAGAGATTTTACACTCAGAATATCTCAGCCTTTATATTATTATATCATACATAATTATCTCCAAACCGCTCTTGTTATGTGTCATCAGTGTCAATGTACGTACATATCTTGGTTGATAGTCGGGTGAAGCTCTCGTGAGGTAGTGGGGTGGCGGGTAATGCACTGACGTGAGGTCCGGCAGTGACCCGCCAGGCACGGACAGCTCGCCGCAGGATAACGCACCGCTAGCATCCACACCGCTCTCGTACACACTGGAAAATATAAAATTATAAAATTATAACATATATATAAAGAAATGAATTGGAAAATTCATTTACTATAGTGAGCATTTTACATCATACATTATGCATGGTGTTTATACAAGAAAAAAAATTATTTTTACATCTGTTTGTTTGTTCCTTCTAATTTTAGATAGGGATGGGATATTTTGAAGGGAGTTTCAATTGCATGTAGATGTTGTAATTAGGAGTAATTAGCCTAGTTTAATTTATGAAATTAATTTATTTTATTGATCAAAATAAATATTTAATGAATAAGTTGCGGGTATTGCTATGTCTTTGACAATCTGTAGTTGATTTTATGATTCAATTCTCAATTATATTTATTTCGTCATTGTGAATACATTATTTTGAACATAACTTTCTTTTAGACAATCCGATAAACATTTATTACACATCAAATTAAATACATTCACAAAAAATATCTTGATTCCACTTTGACAATAATGAGTTGCAAAAAATATACTTTGATTGTTATTAATTTTAAAATTTAATTACATATGCCACTTTAATTTAAAAATTTATAATGTTATTATTGAGTGATGCACAATTACTTTTATATGCTACTAGCTTTCCGTCCGCAGCTTCGCCCGCGATTAGTTCGATTATATCGCGTTTCCAAGAGAACCTTTCAAAAGTCTGGGATAAAAACTAACTTATGTTCTTTCTCAAGGTCAACTTCATCTCTGTACCAAATTTCATTAAAATCAGTTCAGTGTTTTAGGCGTGAAAGCGTAACAGACAGACAGACAGAGTTACTTTCGCATTTATAATATTAGTAGGATGAATAGAAAGACTGAAGTATGGTACTACTAAATGATGACAAATTTATGTTACATATAAAGTACTGTATACTTCATATTTATGTTATACAGCTATATTTGAAGTATACAATACTTTATATGTTATATAGCTTACTTGTTATTGTTAGGTATCCTAGGTATTTCACACGACGACCGCGGACGATTATTTGGGCTCATGCCTAACGTCGCCAATACATCTAGATTAATGTTGCCAGCTGGAAAAATAAAAATATTAATTAAAAATTAAATTATTTTCAAACACAGGCAACTTCACAGAAAACAATTCTTTATGTGCTGTGTGTTAAAAAGTTACTCACGAAATTAAATATATAACTAATTATTATTATTAAAATTAAAAAAGTTTTTCTTTGAAAAATAATTTACATTTTTATATTGATTTTGAACGTGAACCAGTATTGGTATCATGACAAAGTCATCTTAATTTAACAAGCTCCGAATATAGTGTAACTAATGTAACTAATTGCTTTAACAGCGTCACGGTTGATATGAAAATTAAGACTATATTATAACAACTGTTATACTTATGATAAGAAATAGTTCATGAAGAATAAGAAATTCTTATTAGAATTTCCATTTTAGTCTTCATTTATTTGTAATGCAGTCATTGAGAAAAATATATATATTTATTTATAATTTTTACTATAATGTATCTGAGTCACATTACTGTTGTGGAAAAATGACCTGTATTCAGTAATATAAGTTACACTTATTTAAAATTCGAAGAATAAACATAATATACTACATATAATAAAAGACTTTTCTGACTAAAGCAACATGAAAACTGAATTACATCAATCTCAAAATTATTACAATGCTATTAAATTCAAAATTGATTAATCTATAACATGAACACATCCTGTATAACATCATATTCAAATTTAAAATTTGGAATAGATTTTATAACTGATACCAAAGAGGTTGTATGTATATGTTAACCTCTCCGATGGTTCTGGTGTGGGTGCAGGTGAGGGTGTGCGTGTGAGTGTAGAGGGTGGTGCGGTGACAGCGGCGGCGCGGCCGTCTGCTGCTCGCCGCACGACTGGTGGAGGGCGGAGTCTGAGTTAGTCCGCCGCCAGTTGCTGTCCGGCGGCGGGCTGGAACGGACGTGTCACGTGGTTATATATACATACATGATAATAAATATTAAACGTAATTATAACATATGAGAGACTATGTAAGAATTTTGTATTTACATAAAATAACGTATATTGATAGATTATTATAGAACTAAAGGAATGAATCGATTATTAATTAATATTTATGCGTGGTTAAAAAAAAGTTGTACTCCATCCGTTCAAGGATTTCTCGTTTCGAACTAACGATATTATATTAAATTAATCATTTATAATATTGGAAAAAAATATATACGTCACATATTACGTATGAAAATTTTTAGTAACATATCAATAACACAAACACACTTTTTGTTAAATGAAAAAAACAATTATATAGTAATTTATGACTAAAACGATACAAGGTAATTTCCTCGAAATATAAAAACTGCAAACGATGACGTCAAAATATTAAAAGTTCACCAACTTTCAAACCAGCATCACCAATGTCAATTTCAATATCCTGTTTGTGACCGATATAATAGCGAACAATAAAATTATTAATTATGAATGAGGTTTCCAAGAATATATGATAATAAACTTGAATTAATTTTAGTATCGGTACTATTGGTGACGAACAATGTTCGCTACGTCTTGATTGTAATGAACCGACTTAACTTGTTTAAGGAGTTCATTAATATATATACGACCTTATTTTAAAACTTTTAATAACCAAATGGCAGAATAAATTCACAAAATCTGACATTTTGGTAACATAGAAAAAAAATATATGTAAAAAAATATATACCATTTGCAATTAGGTTTACAATCGGAAAACGGCGATTGTTCTGTGATAAACCTTCAAATTTACGGTTTTTTGTATAATTTTTTTAACCTGGACCAACTGTAGGGCATTGTTTATTACGAAATTGTTATCGGTTTTTTTATGTCAATATATTCGAAACAAAGAGAATAGTTATGTAATATGTTTAAGATTTTATTATTTTACTTAACCAATACCTACTTTGATGATATAAGTAGGTATTTTAGTACAAAAATGGATTTTAAGTTTTAACTGAAAGTTCAAAATTATAGATACATACGGAACCAAGTATAAATAAATCTTCATTTTTTAAATCCGCCCATTTAAATGTTTACAAAAATTTAAAATTATTATTAAATATATTTTTAAATTAATATATTACGCGTAACTTCCAACATAATTTATGTATCCATGTACATGAAATAAACAACTCAGTTATAATTATATATAATAATAGCAATTGTTGCAGTCTAGACTAGTTATAATGTCATAGACTGAGACTATATACACTTATATAACGTTCAATACTTAGACTATTATATGATAACATTACTTTTGTATGAAGAATATATTACATACTTATATGTATACTATAACATAATTATTTTTTTATACTACTGTATTATTATCTGAGGCATTTTTTTACGTAGTATTGATGGAGCAACGGTTTAAATACATTCGTATCATAAAGTTAGCGTTACACCAATATGTGACATGTAATATAATGCCAATACACATAAAGTTTGTTCAAATAGTTTGAACATATTAAAAATTATGCTCTAACGTCGTGTAGTTGATATATAATTTTTGCATCGGTGAATTCACTTATCAGTACATTTCTGATCGCGATAACACGGATATAATCTCATTGATCTAACTTTGTAGATGAGAAATATATATTTTAACTTAACGGCAGTTTAAGAATATTTTAGTTCAAAACATTTCCGCAATTAAAATATTTACCGATGGAATAATTTTATTACTTTCTATATAATAAGGAATTTAAAAGTTGTTGTATTGACTTTTTTAAATCTCACCTTAAATATACGGTGCTTCCGTAAGGGCTGGTGTCGTGTTTCCGGTCAGCCGGCCGTCTCATCGGCCCCACAGACGAGGATGCCCGACCCCGACCGGGCGACCGAGGGGTTGGCGAAGTCCCCCCGCTTCTACCGAGCCCATACTGAGTGGCTAGTGTCGTTTCTTCGGGCTGTTAACAAATAATTATAATTATAAATAAATACCAAAAATAATTCATCGATTTCAATGAAAAGCTTTCATTGGTTATAATAAAGAATATATAATTCATAATTACTATATAACAGACTGTTAATCACGTAAGTTATTTGAAGCATTTCCTTGTAATGCTTTTCCTCTACATAAATAAACGTAAACTATTTGTGAACAATCAAAATTCTTTAACTGATGTTTTGCTGGATAAGAATACTGCATTAATTTATCACATTTAATCCTATAATTATTGATTAGTGATAAAAAAAATACACACACTATATCTAAATTAGAAAATGATATATTGGCTCAACTAATAACTATATTCTATACAAATTGGGATATGAATCATAAAATTAAATCTTCTACAAAGCGAGGAATACAACACAATAGGATATCTATGTAATAAAATAATGATTCATCAACATTACCAGGCCGGTCATGCTTATGCAAAATTAATCATTTAAAAAAAACTTAATAATAAAACCAAATTATATAATAGAAGCATCTTGTTTAACGATTTCATCTTATTATATATGACCATTAAAGAATATTAAAATATTTTATTCAAATTTGTATGTGAAATAAATAATTTGGTTCTAATTCTAAATATCTTAATTTAACACAATATGCAAACATTAAAAATTGAACAAAATACATGAAAGGATCATTACAATCTATAAAATATGATATATGATAATTTACAGAAACACTAAAAAAACTTATTGAATACAATAAAAACATATAAATATTATTTTTTCTAGCTAAAGTAGTAATGTCCTATACCATTCACTTCTATTAAAATCTATGTCATACTTAATTTTGAATCCGGCTATAAAATAAACAAAATGTACTAGCAAGCACAAGTTGGTTGGCAGATGTTACATATTAACAAATTGCCTTACCGATGAATTCATTCAAGGATCATTTGAACATTATTTCTATGTGATGCAGTTATCTTGTTTTAAAGAATGGAAAATAAATCATTATATTTTATTGGATACTGGCTTAGAGTTTTGTCACATAAAGTAAACATATGAATTACGGTTCACTTTAAATGCCATTTCATAGTATATGACATCTTGTCTCATTAAATTATATATGTAATTCAATTATCTCTAGTCCACATTAATTTATATTTTTTAACAATCACTAAACTACATAAATAATGTAGCATAATAAAAGTAATCTATGCACCTCTAATATAAACTAAAATATAGCAAAGCCCACAACATAGAAGGGGTTTTGAACAAGTTGATTCCGAAATATGGAACCTTAGTAGTCTCCAGACTTGGCGGGGCTTCAGGAGCAGCAACATTTGGCAATGAACCGCTCCTGTATGTGCCCAAGCTTTGTGTTGTGACTATTTGTTCAACAACCTCCGGTTCGGGCGGTGCTTTCATTTTCGAACGGCGATTGCTAGAGTTCACCTGTAATGACTATCTTTCAACGACTTGTTGATCGTGTTTATTTACTTCTTGCTAATATACTTAATGCCAGTTTCTTTAACGACTTGGAGTGTCTATTTTTCGTATTATACTATGGTAGTAGAATTTTTATATTTTGTGATACATAAACTTCTTGAATAAAATAATTTCATAATAAAATTAAATGTATGCCTAAAAGTTTGTAGTTTGCATGTATAATATAACATAAAAAAAATAACGTTAAATACAATTTTAAAAACTTCCAAATATTTAACTTAATATTGGTGAATGAAATACTGTGTGAATATTTCGCAGATATTTTATATGATACATTAACAGTAACCTTCGATCAAACAAATTATAAATCTCGGTATTGTTTTGTATGCACAAAGGATATAAAATAATAAAACATTCCGACAATGACATTTCTAATTATCACACAAACTGAATATTCCGAGACCGTACCGAGTATTTATTAATCATACAAGATTAATATTCATTTAATAATTAGAGTCGCAATAGGCGTATTGAAATCATGATTGTTTACGTCGGCTAGCACATTTGACGGCCAGGAAGCGATTGCCTGAGTAAATAGGCGACCCGCGACATACCTTATTGGTTGCGTCGGAAACTTCACGCATAATTTTCTCAAAAGCGGCCGTTTCCTCAGCCTGCTTTTGATTGTGAAGGGCAATCTTTTCACTAAATTTTCTAGGATTCGCCATGATAGTCAACAAACATTTATTCTTCTCTTTTTACATCACAATTTTCTGGGCTCATAGAACCAAAACGCGCCTGCCTGTCAGACAGCAGGTTAAGGTTGCCAACAAAAAAATGTAAATATGTAATCAAAATATGCCAAAAATCTTATAGAACAAAAAATCTGTCAAGTAATAGGCAAATAATAATAAATATGATTATTTAATAATGAAACAAGTACTTTTATACCTGATACATGCCTCATAAAATTTATTACTAAAAATCAATTATGGAGTCCGTTAAATTTTTGTAATCCATTGGGTTGTTATTTTCACTGAAAATTTATTTGGAAATTTGATCGAATCATAAATGAAATATAAATTTTTTATTGCACCATTAGAAATTACATAGGATTTAATTTTGTAAAGTGTAATTTAAGAAATTTATTTTACAAATCTTAAATTATTCTTTTAAAACATCATTTTATTGTTATCATCAAATTTATATAATGTATTTAAATTTACAGTTATCGGATTCATTTCGAACATTAACTATCTATTCAGGTTTGAAATTCATTATCTGTTGTAAAGATAAACGCTCTGTTAGGTGATAACGTCAAAACTCAAATGTTATTAGATTAGTTCTGTCATAACACCGTGTCAGAAGTGTTAACATTTTTAAATCGAAAAATGTTGTTTAGTGAGATTTGCGACAGAGAATCACAGTAAATGGTTGTTTTGTAAATAAGTGTACATCATGGGGGAAAAATATATTTTATCGCTTGACATAGGAACCTCTACAATAAGATCCGTTATATATAATACTCGAACTGAAATTGTGGGAAAAGCTGTGGATCAAGTAAGAATTTTTAAATTTAAAATATTGTATTATATTCTAATTTCTTTTTAACAAATATTCTTTTATAATTTTTGCTTTTATTAATCCGGGCTATTTAAATAAAACACTTGTTTATTACGATTTCTCAGACGTGCCAACTAACTTTCTAAATTTATTGACCTAAATATTATACATTTATACACGATACCATTGAGCTATTTTTTTCATTTTTATTTATAACTTTTATTTAAGGTAACACTCCATTATCCAAGTCCAGGATTTGTTGAAATCGATCCTGATGAGTTGTGGAAATCTGTTGTTGGTGTTGTGAACAAATCACTACAAAGTAAGTTTAATGAATTAAAACTTATATTTAAATAATTCTTTGTTAAAGTGAATTAATAATCAGTGTCATTACTCTTTAAAATCATTTTTAATAGCTATATCTAAATAATTTTATAGATTAGATAAAACTGTTGTTGCTCTGACATAAATCTATACAAAATGTAAATGAATGCTTAATAATAACTATTATAACATTTTTATAGTCAAATTATTGCATAAATAAATATATAGGTATGTAAAATAAATTTCCTTCTAATTATCAATATTTTTAGATGCAAATTTATCCGCCAATCAGATAACAGCAATGGGTATATCAACCCAAAGAAGTACATTTATTACTTGGTCCCAGGACACAGGGAAACCATTTCATAGATTCATTACATGGAAGGATTTGAGGGCTGATGAATTAGTTAAACAATGGAATGATTCTTATACTTGGAAGGTATATAAATAAATGATTTTTAACTATATGTTTATAAAAATATTAATTTCGATGTCTAAGTTTTTGTGGGAACCCTTTTAAAAATGTTTTATTGAATAACTTGTATCTAGATTACTTTTCTATCTTCACTCATTTGAAGGTAGAAATATTTTTTGAGTATGAGTATTTACAATAATTAATTTATAATACAATAACATTGCTTTATAAGACTCAATCAGTTTATTTTGTTTGTCAAATAAACAAATATTTTAGTATTAATTTAATACTAAAATAGTATATAGAATATTTGTTCCAGTTTATAAAAGTTAGTGCCTATGTTCTGTTCATGATATCAAGGAGCAAGAGATTCAGAGCCGGTAGTGTTTTCAAATTCTCAAATAACCAGGTAAGTAATTTTAATTATATTTTCAAGTATTATGGTGAATTGATTGTAGAAAGATACTTGTCTCATAGAGAAGTATTATAGTATTTTTGGATGTGGTTGTCCATATAAGTCAATAGCTATAAACTACTAAACCAATTATACCAGAAAAATGTGTATGTAAATTGTTTATTTTTATGGGTAAATACAGAAACTGGTGACGCCACTGATAAAATTCGAATAATTTCTTAAATAAATATAAACAATAAATAAACCTTTAAGTAGTTTGTTTTGCCTTAGAAAGAATGTTTTGATACTATTAGAGGAAACTTGGTTTTGAAATTTCTGTTGACTAAGATACTATGGCTCTATTTTAAAGTTTATTAAAACAATTTCTTATTAAGTCCAAAACAAATATGATTGTTGCTCATTAATAACTACAGTTGTTTTGAATACTACATTCTTGAAAGAATATTTTGTTTTAAGTGTTTAAAATATTTAGAACTTTTAAAGCAGCACTGACTAAGTTTAAGTTAACTTATAAAACTATCAAACATCAATGTTTAATGTAAATATGGACTGTCAGCGATAGTTTTACTACTGTTGTTTGAAAATATATTTTAGATACTCTTAATAGAATAGGTACTCGTATGCGAAGAATATGATTGACGTTATTTCGTAATAAATCCTTTCGACCAATATACATTTATCCATATAAAACTAGAAATGTATGCTTTTACTTTTAAATATTGAGAAATTTGAGCTAAAAATCATTTTCTTCATGTTTTGATTTACGCTGACGTATTCCGATGCATATATTAACTTAATCTGAGAAGCCAACAAAACGTAGTACATAATAAGATTTCCTCCTGTTCTAACATGTATCTTTCATCAAAACAATACCGTTACAAAATACGTTATTGTTTTTATACCCATTGCCAATTAAATTATCACTTGTTCTATTAATAATAAATAAGTTAATATGTTGTTTACGCTCCGGCGTCGGGACGTGACGACCCCATCGCCCACTGGTGTATTCCGGTGCAATCAGTCACGGGGGGGAGGGCTGGGGGTACAGCCCTGGGAGTAAGACGGTCACGGATCTGGCAGGAGGCCGTCCGTGGCTGTCTTGGGGGGGAGGGGATACTCGGGTCTCTCCGGAGGCCTGAGTTCGCTTGTGGTCGGTCGGTTTCCTCTCTGTCTGCCGTCGGGCGCTTGCGCTCGTCGGTGGGTGGTTGGAGACTGGCCGCGTGGGCTTGGGTGGGAGGGGTAAGGGGTTAACCCTCTCGCGATTAAGCAAGCCCGCCAGGCGGGGGGACACTCCTGGTCACTTGGAGTGAGCCCTCGGGGGGGGGAGGTGGCCGTTCGCGGCCCGCCGCCGGATCGTCGCGGATGCATGCTTCGGCGTTTCCCGTGGCGATCCACTTGGCGGCAACGGAGAGTGACCGCTGGTGTTTTAGTGGGTAACATGGGCCCTTCTGGCCGTGAATCCCACATAACCGCCTCTGTCTCCCCTAGACGGAGGGGTAGGTATAAAACCTTTCACCGCGATAACAAAAAAAAAAAAAAAATATGTTGTTTACGCACTATATTTAGACTAATGGCGTTCGCGCTAAAATTAAATACTTATAATTTAGACTCTGTGCTAGTGTTGCCATACGTTTTATTTTTAATAAATGACTACGCTTAATTATGGCTGCGATTCTTTTATTTAGTGTTAATTTTTTTTTAATTATAAAAGCTTTATCTATGCTGTTCTGTTTTATATTGTTCTAATAGTTTTAAATATTTTAGTCTTTATTTAACGGATTTTTAAAATGTTTTAAATGTTCATAATCTAGTTATAATTTTATCTTGTTTGAGTATCCCATAGCGGTTACTTCATTTATGCTTAAGTAGCGATAAAAACACTATCAAAGGCCAATACATAACTTCGTCGTAAAAAGTTAGCAAAACAAGTTTTATGTTGGTAGACATTAATATTCAACGACCAAGATAATGTTGAGGTTTACTTACAGCATGAATCAAAGTTCGACGAAAAAAATATTGAATTTGGGTACGAATAAATATTAAAGCCAATTGTCGATTTCTCTTTTAACACAACTTTCGAAATATCAAAGATTACGGAGAAATTCTTTAAGGTGCTAACCACTGCATACATATGCAGTTATAATTATATACAGACGAATAAAAAGACAATACTTATCGATATTTTCTTTCTATTTGTCTCTTTAGAGGCTATTATACGATAAGGTAAATTGTGTATATTCATAATTATACTACTTATTTTTAGAAAACATTAAAATATACAGCAATATGATATTTATAATATTGAATAATGATGAAATTAATTAAAAGTATATAAAACTATCAATTTAAAAGTCATTACGAATAGATTAATTTGGTTAAACACAAAGACATCTATTGTCTTTCGTACTAAAATTATCAATAGCAAAGTGTATGACGTTGTAAACATTTTTGACGTGATTTTAATTAAATTTCGGTGTAATAGTTTGTCAGAAGACTTGATTGCTTTATTCCATGTTTTTCACTGTAGAACATGTCAGGATAGTTTTATTTTATAGGAAAAGTAGTGTCAAAGACATTACGAGTTAGTCTCTACAATTTTAGTCAAACAATATTTTCATCATTTCTCTGTTATCAATACTGAAGTCTACTCGGATGAAGTCGCAGATCACAGCTAGTGTATAATAAAATGGTCTTAAATTTCAATAATTATTTTAAAAAGCTAAAAAATCACAAAAACCTCTTTACATAAATATAAAAAAAACTTAATGGAACATGTTTTTTTTTATAATAATATCTATCATAAGTTTAATTATCTGTACAAGGTTCAAAGTCACAATTAATTAACAGGCATTTATTTTATTTTTTACCAACAACACTGGCTTCCTTGTTCTTTAATAATTTCCGTGATTATTTTTTGTTAATTCGCGTATTTTATATTATATCTTACTGGCGATCGAGTTTTGAAAGTTATTCTTGATGTACTACTTTGACACCTTTATAAAGACAATTACTATCTGAAATTATTTATATGTACATTTAGAGCAAATTTTATAAATCCTAATTATTTTTGTAGAACAAAAGAAGCAAAATGTATTAAGACTCGAATAGCAACGAGATAACTAATTGTTTTTAATTTAATCATGTTTAGATAAAAATAAAAAATAACACTGATAGTTGATACGTAAGCAGATATTGTTTGTGTTTTGTTACCGGAGATTTGATTAAAAGAATATTCTATTTGTAATATCGAAATCATTAAATTCACTAGTTACTTCATTCAGCTGTGTCTATGCTCTCAAACAATAGGGTTATACGCAATATATACGCATATTGTAATTGTATGTAAAGCTTTCTTACCTATATCTGTAAAGAAAATGATTTATACATTAAACGTGTATAAAACTTCAAACTAATAAAGAATGAAGACATAAAGGATGTCCATAGTATGTTTGAAGAAGTATTTTAAATAGTCGTATGATTTTAAATAAATATAACGAATATGTATTAAAAATAAACTTATTAGTTTACTAATTAATATATTATTTCTAACTAATAATATATTAATTAGTATTTTAATTAGTAAACTGTCATATAAAAAATATAATTTGCTCATAATTTTCATTATTATTATATAACAATAAATATAATATCGATTACGTTGAAAACCTTCTTTTTTTTTGAAATCATTTAAAATAAATTTATTCTCTGTAGAACCTTAAATAGAACAACTTTGATACTAATTAATAGTGTTAATGATACGTAAAAAGGAAACATCGAAGTCGTTTATTAAATAATGATTTTTAGATCAACGTAAAATATAGTAAATAAGGAAAGCAAGTTTTGCTGCTGGCCGCTTCGCTTTAAAATAATGGAAATAGATTTTAATCTGACTTTGCATTGTTCATATTATATACATACATTTAATATATTCCGTAGTATAATATGTTCATTTAAATATATTATAATATTTTGAATAAAATAATTATATACAAACTTTATGTAGTTTTATGTGCATAACAAAATTTTATTGTTATTACTTATCTGTGGCGAAAAATTTTGTATATTTTTTTTTTAGTTCAACAAAAAACTATTCCTTTCTCAAGTCGGTTGAATGTATGTGATCCGTTTTTTTCTTTTCAGACTACATTAAGATTGTACTGGGCCCTCCTTAACGTGCCGGCTCTGAAATCCGCTATTGAAAATAATGACGCCATGTTTGGTACATTGGACACGTGGTTGTTGTATAAAATGACAGGTAATTATAAATACAGATAGTTTAAAATAAAATGGCGTCTGTTGTATAATTATGTATGGTGATTATACATCGTGATACTGATTACGTAAATGGTATGAATTCATTATACGTTTATAAGAACCGGTTTATATTGAAACGATGAGATGTTTTTTATGAATAAATATGTTATGGTTTGTAATATTATTTCACATAAGCAGGAATCGAACCTTCAACTTTCGTATCGTGTCCAAAAGATTAAGACCTTATTCTGTTAGTGTTGATGGATTTTTTCTTATTCGATAAATATTAAAAACATTATCATAGAAATATATTGATTCTGGAAGAAGCAATATTTTAATTTTGTAGTTGAATAAAACGTACAATTTAATTGAAACTAAGTATTTTCACTTTACCATAGCCGTCATGTTTTAACCCTTTTTGGATTATTTGCTATATTAAAAAGCTACATTAATTCAATTAATTTTTATAATCCATAATAATTCTCCGTATTAAGGTAACAAGGTCCACATGACGGATGTCTCATCAGCGTCAGCGACGGGTTTCTTCGACCCCTACACCATGCAGTGGGCTGGGTGGGCGATGGCAATATTTGGTATACCCATGGAAGCATTGCCAGAGGTCGTTGACACGGCCGGGGAACACTTCACCAGCACTGCACCCGATATATGGGGGCATGCGATACCCATAAGAAGCTGTGTATGATATGCTTTAATCAATAATATTAATATTCTTATTTCTTCTAGTCTATATCATATATGGGATAGATTTTTATGTAAACACCGGAATATTGAAAGCAATTTGAACGCAATATATTGAAAATTGTGGGTTCAAATCCCGCTAGTGTCAATTCAGTTTTCATTATCTAAAATCTTCTATTTGAATTTTTATTAAAGTACATAATAGGTGACTGTTAGTGACATCTCTTTAATGTTAAACACATAATTGAATTGACTACAGTAGATTAAAAAAAAAATACTTAGTTATAAGTAGAAATAAAGACGCAGAGAGTAAACATCCTATCCTTATTATACTATTTATTATCGACTTGAATATATCAAAAATATTAGTGTGAAAAAACATACTCAGGCAATTCCCTGTTTCTGTTAAGACGCCATCTAGGATAACAAGCTCCTAACTTGAGTTACGTATTAAAATTAATAACAAAACTCAAAAAAAAACACAAATTAATTGGACTATATCATCATATCATACAGTGACTAAATACTTAATATGAAATTTCAACAGATTTTATATCTCATTTTCATCAATTCTTCTTTTCATCCCTGCTAATATTATATGTAAATGCGAAAGTAACTCTTTCTGTCTGTCTGTTACGCTTTCACGCCTAAACCACTGAACTGATTTTAATGAAATTTGGTACAGAGATAGAGTTGACCTTGAGAAAGACACAGGATAGTTTTTATCCCAGACTTTTGAAAAGTTCTCTTGGAAACGCGATGTAACTGAACTCCACGCGGGTGATGCTGCGGGCGGAAAGCTATTTTTAGATAAAATTGATGTATTTTTCTATCACTTATGTGCTCAAAAATCACACGTACATTATTAAATCAAAACTATATAATAAAACAATACACATATAATTCCAGATAGCTGATCAAACGGCGTCAATGTGGGGTTCGTGTTGCTTCAATCCCGGTGACGTGAAATTAACAATGGGTACTGGAACGTTCTTGAACATACACACGGGAGCATCACCTCACACGTCCCTCACCGGCTTATACCCTGTGGTAGGATGGAGAATGGGTGAAGAATTAGTGTACTCCGCTGAAGGAGCTAATAATGATACAGCTAGTATCATAAAGTGGGCACAGAATTTGGGTACGTATGTTTTCTGAGCATATAGAGCAGTTTTATGGAATTATATTAAACGAAATTATTTTATTCTAATTGTGATCATTTCAATGAGACCGAATATTTTAGTGACGTCATCATTTAATTAAACGTTACATTCTCGTATTCCTTACGAAAGAAGTTGTAAATACTCGTAGTCTATGTGGAATATAAAGTTTCATAATTGATTGAATTATGACATAATTATGTATATAATTTTGTATTATAATAAAGGTCCATAGTTATACAGGCAATGTTGAATATGTGATGTATATTTCATTAAAAGTCAAACAAATATATACAAAATTAACGTATTATGTATCATATTACTAATAAGTCTACATTCTACTTTGGAACTGATTCTGTGTACCGTTAATCTTTTTTATATTTTTTCTAATGTCAAATCATGCACGAGCTTGAAAAAAAATTTCCAATTTTGTGAAGAATAACAATAAATAATTACATATAAAATTTATCTAATTTATAAAAAAAATTAATATGATAAACTAGATATATTTCTAAGTGTTTCTGTTTCTCATTTCCAGGTCTTTTTGACAATCCTCAAGAGACAGCTGACATCGCGATGTCTGTACCAGATTCTGACGGAGTGTTCTTCATACCGGCGTTTAGTGGCTTGGGTGTAAGATAATATTAATAATGATCATAATAATTTATTGACATTCATTGATTTAAATATTTGTCAACAAATTTAATCCAAAATGTAGTGCGTGGGTTCTCTCCCGGAAGAAGTAAAACTTCGTTATGTGGAAATGAAAATATTTTAATTAGTTTAAAATCAAACTAAGAAAATAGTGAATGTTATAAATAAACTAATATAGGGCAACAAGAACGCATTTCACCTAGTTTCACGACGCTCCCACTGTTTTCTTCGCTGCATAGCAATAAAACCGTACGCACCGATTCTCTCTCCTACTTTCTATATTTGTGTATATTTCTTTCTCTCTCCCCTTTGCGTTGGAATATAAACGCTACACGTTGCTGAAGTATTGGCTTAGGGCTAACAGCTTTAAAAAAAATAAACAATGAAGTATTAACCTTGTACTACGCGCATGCGTTCGAGCGTCACACGTTTCTCTCGTCTGTCTCATTTTATGTTCACGAATGCGCTTCTGATAATTATGTATTATAGTGATGTCGATAGTTAACTAAACTATTTGACATTAAAGTATCTTAAGAGGATTTAATAGAGCTGCCAATTAATAAAACGAATGACTATACACTGATATCAATTAGGGCCATCAATTTTAGAACTTTCGAACCCCTCCCCCGTCCTTGTCACAGTTTCTCACATTTTCATAACCTCTCCTCCCGATGTGACGTCACACATTTTTTAAATATACGTATCTATTTAAAAACAATCGAGAGAAAACAGTAATTTTCATTTCTATTAAATAATAAGCTAGTAAAATCATCGGAAGTCCAATATTTCATAAAACCGAAAAAACAAAACACTAGTTAGAAAAATTATATATATGTGACGTCATAAATCTATTGACCCCCCCCCTCTGCCCCTTTTGACATGATGTTGCACTTCGGTGATTTCTCCCTTCCCATTTAGGTGTGACGTACTTTATAGACGGTCCCATACTTTCTATAACATATATATTAATCATTATCATCGTCATCACTGCTGAGCAAAGGCCTCTTTCTCACACGGAGAAGGTTTGAGCATTAATCACCACGCTTGATCAAGACGGGTTGGTGATTTCAAACTTATAATTGTGAAATTATAAGTCCAGGTTTCCTCACGATGCTTTTCCTCACCGTCTGTCAGTGGTGTCTAAATACTCTTAGAAAGTACATATGACTCGGAAAAATCACATTTTGCCAGGTTTGATACCCGCGACCTCGTGCATGAGAGGCGGACCCTTTAACCACTAGGCCACCACTGACTACATATAACATGTATATATATTTAATTTATTATTAATTTCCAGCCTCCCTACAACGACTGTACCGCGGCGTCAGGGTTCGTGGGTATGAAGGCGTCTACAACCAGAGCTCACCTCGTCCGGGCTGTGTTAGAGTCGCTCGCGTTCAGAACCTCGCAGTTATACACCTGCATCAGAACAGAGACCAACTACCAGTTTGATACAGTCAGGTAATCCCTACTAATAATATAAATGTGAAAGTAACTCTGTCTGTCTGTCTGTCTGACTGTTACGCTTTCACGCCTAAACCACTGAGCTGATTTTAATGAAATTTGGTACGGAAACAGAGTTGACATTGAGAAAGAACATTGGATAGTTTTTATCCCAGACTTTTGAAAGGTTCTCTTGGTAACGCGATATAATCGGACTCCACGCGGGCGAAGCTGCGGGCGGAAAGCTAGTACTTATATATATGAGATTTGACTATAGCATACATATGAATGAAACTAATATTTTCGAATTTACTATGCGCTTTTTTAATTATTTTTTAAACTACATACTCAAGAAGTTTCGGTTACTTTGCAGCTGTGTTAATTGATGTATAATCACTTCAATATTTTTGTTTTTATAATATTTCTGGTAATTTTACTGTAAAAAAATCTGCTGTATAAGATTATACATTATAAAGATTATTGTAATTTTTTTATACATAATCTATATAACTAGCTATCACAGATGTAGAGTAAGAGGTGTGAGGAGGTTTTTTTTTGTATATTGGTAAAAAATATATATACATATTAAAATAACCTGAGTTGCTACATATATCAGCTACCAGCCAGACAAAATCCCGTGGATACTCGTTTAACCATTTCATATATGTATAAGCCTAAATAAAATGTGAACAAAATCTGTATATTTATGGTGTAAAAATCCATAGGTTTTTAGTTAACATAGGTTATTTTAAAATTACAAAAAAAGTCACATGTTATTTAATTTTTACATATATTTACTTACTATAGGTGGTAGAGCCTAGTTGTAGTCAGTTACTACAGCTCGAACATGAGCTGGCTCGACCGGGGAAGTACCACCCTCTCACAGAAGATCGGCGTGAAGTAGCCTTTAGTGGCTGCGTTTCGTCCGATGAGTGAGAGAGCCGGTTGCCCTTTCCCTATTCCCACCCTTTCCTACCATTACCTTATTCCCACCTCTCCCTATCCCTAAAAAAAACAAGGTTGGCAACGCATCCGCAACGATGTTGTGGATGTCCATGGGCGACGGTAACCACCTTCCATCAAGTGGGCCGACTGCTCGTTTGCCACCTTTCACATAAAAAAAAAAAAAATTTAGACAGATTTCTCAATGAATTTTTTTTAAATTTGTAAATGTTTAAATTGACAAAACTCATATTACAGCAATTGGTATTGTTTATAACTTATTTAAGTTAAAACTTATTTTAAAGTACAAATATAAAAACTATTTTTGTTACCTTCAAGTAACATAATATGTTAATGTGCAAAAGTTTGTGACAGTGATTTATATCAGAAATATCAAAAAAATATTTATTTATATTAACAAGGAAATGGGGACTTACAATTTCAAATTAGGTTGAAATAGTAAATCGTCTTGAGCAAGCACTTTGATTAATACTCTAACCTTCTCCATATGAGAAAAGGCCTTTGCTCAGCAGAGGGTACCAATAGGCTGATGCTGATTAACAATTGCTTCATAGTATCAAAATTTTGACAACAAGCAGTAGTTTTGTTCGTTTTGGGGTTTAAGTGTCCATTATTTTAGTGTATCGATGATTATAATTACCTATCATCTTGGTATCAACAATAATCTAACAAGGAAATAGTCATAAAAATTACAAAACGGCCTTTAACATTCATTTTATTATATGATTATTAATCGTTTCCTTTGGAATAATTAATAACACATCAAAGTCTCATCAGTCATACTAATAAAAAATAAACTCTATTTTTGTCAAAATTGACATATCTGTCAACGCGAATCTTCGTGTATTAAATGCCAGTATTTTAAAAACATTATATATATAGTATAAATTAATTAAATATTAATGTTATTATTTAGATTGGACGGCGGTGTCTCCAACAATGACTTCTTATCCCAGCTAGTGGCTGATCTGACTGGGCTAACAGTGGAGCGACCTGTACAGGTTGAAATGTCTTCATTAGGATGCGCACACATTGTAGGATTACAGCTAGGTATACATATATAACATATATTCTATGTAAATTTTAATTATTATTACTATATGGAACAAGCAGAATTAAGTTTCGCTATGTCTTTATATACTTCTACATATAATATAAGGTTTGATGCTTTCTGGGTTGAGACTTGAGAAGTTTTCTTATATTTATCTTTGTAGAGTGAGTGAAAGATACTAAGTATATTATATATTACTAGACCAAAAATATGTATATAGTGTAACATGTGTTATATCAGTTATTTAATTAGTATGTATCAAGAAATTTATTAAAAGAACTGTACTAAATTTATTTTATTTAAATTTGCTCCTATAAATTGAGAACTCCATATTGCAAATTCAATAATACCAAATAAGATCTATCTTTGAAAATTAATTGGTTTGTTAATATGAAAACAATTTTAAGGTATCTTCACATCCAAGGAACAGCTAAAGTCACTTCGGAAGGTTGACAAACTGTTCACTCCTAGGGCTCATGTGAAAAAAGCCTATGAACCGATCATAGAAAAATGGGAAGATGCTGTCAAAAGGATGTGCGGTTGGTACAACGATAACAGAACTACTCAGAGCAATACGCAGAACAATTTGAAGGTTAAACTAAAAAAACAGGGGAAATCTAAATAGCGGTGGCTTTTATATGTGCTGCTTTTTATAACGTGCATACCATTATATAGATGATATTCAGCCATGCTCTATTTTAGGGCATTGCTTCGGAAGTTATTTTAGGGTTGTGCGTTATAAATTGTGTATGGCACTTAAAGTGTTTAAAAGACTTTATATATTGATTTGTAGTTATAGTTATGGATATTGTATTCAATGTAGCTTAGATTTGTAATATCTAATGTTCCATAAGAAAATAGAAGTTTCTATAGAAGTAAATAGTTTATATATATAAGTCTTTATATTCATTAATTGATATATCTGATTGAAAATACGTAGTACGGAATTGTTATTGATATTACTAAGTTTTACTGTGTGTATATTTAAGTGAATAATATTGTTTCTCAAATGTCCTATTAATATTTTATAAACTAAATTATTTTCATATAAAACTTCACTTTGACATAATAGACTGTGAGTTTATTGCCACAGATAATAAATTATTATGTAAATTTCATCTTATTATGTATACTGTATGTTTTATCTGTGACAGTAAATTTGCCAGATGATATCAAAAGTGGTTTTGAATATTGAACTAAAGATTTATTTAGCCGATTTTATATATTGATGGAATGAAAAAGTTTTTATAATATAATATAACTTAGTTTTTAAGTAATTCGTTTAATGTCAGCTGGACTTTATTTTATTTGACTTTATTTCTTGCCTTAGTACGGGTTTTTAATAAAGACATTTTTATATCCCGTTCTATAAAAAATATGCTCATCTATTGTCGACATATAACTTTACAATTCATATATTTCATTGCAAATTTATATTTGCTTTTAATAATATTTGTATCAGTATAAGTGTATTAAAGTAAAAAATATTTATAAAAATTGTAATGAACTGTAAACAAAAGACATTGATTTAATCATAACTTATTTGTTACTTAAACATTCAAAATGGTTATTGAAAAATGGATCTTAAATTATATGATATTGGTTGCATAATAAGAACTAACTAGTTCAAGACTGCTATTACAAGGACTGCAAATGGTAAATAAAACTAAAATTGACAAATTATGTGAATGATCTATGAATATTTTGAAGAAAATAATTTTATTTTTTTAGTACTATAGTGGGTGCTAACCTAAGATGGGTTAAGTAAAAATGAATTTTATGTTACACACTAAAAGACACATTTTCCAATGTAAAATTAAGAATTAATTTTGGATTCGTAATAGAGTTAAAAATATATTGTGAATAAATTTAAAGACATATTTGTATTTTATTAATAAGTTTTCACTATATTAAAGTTAAAAATATTCGTTCATATCATACAAAGTGCGTCATATCTTGTAAGGTGATAAATGATATTGTAATCATTATGATGTGTTTAAACAATGTATTACCGTCTAGAAAGATCCATATATATGGGCTGGTGTGATCAAATGTTAGACAAGAATGGCGAAGATTGTAGTACTGTTCATATTATTATTGCTAATAAGGAATATATTCGGATTCCCTAAGGATGGGTTGAATTTATATCCCGAAGTCATAAAAACCAGGCATATGGTCTGGGAGGGTAACGATTATACAGATTATGATTCTGGGGTAAATTCTGAGATGACTTTCATACAAGTCGAGAATACTCTCTGAAAAATTTTCAACCAGATTTCTTTGGAGAGATTGATATGAAAATGTCATGCTGTGAATTGGAATCCAGGAGAGTTTTGAAGATTGACTGCGGATGAAACTATTATGAAAAACTCAATATTATAAGGCCTTAGTTTATGAATGTAAAATATGTTTATATGAAATTACTATTAAGAATAGAAAACTAATGTTTAAACTTGTGATGTAAGCCTATTTTAGAAGCTTTGTTAGGATGTAAGAGGTTTTAAACGAATTTTTATTTAAGTTATGTCAATGTTTTATTACTGTTATTAATTTTTTACTTTTTTTATCTGTTATATATTTTTTTATACATGTTTGATTTTTTCTATTGTCACATTTTTTGTAATTTGTGTATGATGTTTGATGAAAGGTATCTGTACTGTAATTAATGTAAATATGTTTTTGTAAAGTGTAATATTATATAGATTGACAGTTGAATAAAATAAGAATATTACAATTTTTGATTTTTAATTACCAACTTGCTATTTCTGTTATTTGATGCTTGATAGTAGTATAACCTTAGGAACCGCACTACCTTAGTACATACCATTTTACTTTTAAATTGGACACTTTCAAATTGTAAGTTAAAGGAAACAGACGTAAGCAAACTACTTCAATCATTCTCATAAGGAATGAGATAGTAACTGAATTTAGTACTTTGTTGCAATTATTTTGTTATCAACAAATAATTTTAAATATTCACTATCATAGTGTCCTTAAAGGAAACAGTATCCTTAGCCAAATAATTGCCTTCAGATAACTAATACTTATTGAATAAAAAAATTATTTCCAAGTTTCGTCACCATTAAAACATATATGTATATTATATTTTTGTTTTTTATTAATTACTAGGTACCTGCTCTAGCTTCGCAGGGGTAATTAATAAAAAATATAAAATAGCCTATGTTGAGTACGTTCTTTTTGACTTAAATCAGGAAAAACAAAAATTTCATCATCTTTCTTCGTTAAACATAAAATAACTTAGAGAAACAGTATGTTTTTAAGTTATTAATAATTTTTAATATAATGTCAAAAATGTTGCATACAACATTAATGAGGTGATCATGTCAAAAAGTGAACAATCGCGTGAATTTAATTTTGAGAATTATTAAACTTATGATAAATTTCAAATGGTAAGTCCGAATTAAATAATTCAAAGAGTAATTTATAGATTTTGGTGTAAGCTTGAAAGCAAAGTAATTTATTTTGATAAGACTTTATACCGTAATTATATAAATAGCTTACCTATTACGCTTCATGAATGCCAAATTTTAAAAGTATAAAATGGATATACATAGTATGTTATCCATAAGAGATAGACATACATATGCTATCGCGGACTTTTCTGTAAACCTATATAAAATACATAATTCCTCGATACATTATTTTGTTATATCTCAAAGGGTTTTAGCAGTGTTTTCGTTAAAAGCTGACAGACTGCTCATTTTTTTTCATCATCCTCAACAAATATCGTTAATGTACACACAAATCAACACAAAATCCATACAAATTATATTATATTAAAACCTTCCTCAAGAATGACGATATTGAGTGGTGAAAACATGTAAACGGTGCAGTAATTTTTCTGTGTATTGCGAATAGCCAGACAGACAGATGCCTCAGGGGACTTTGTTTTATAATATGTATTGATTTAAGATATATATATTACAATGAACGAGATGTATTAATTTATTATATAGAGATATAAATAAGATTATATTCCTTGTTGTATGATTTCTAGGGTAAAAATTCGTCAAATATACAGATCCTTTTACCACAGACTATAACCCTCCATAAGCATAGATTATTACCCAATATTTAACACAATTTTCAAAGCCTTTGAGAGCATAAATATAAATTCTATATTTAAAACTTATTTTACTTAAACACTGCTACCAAATAATAATAAAAACTTCGTTTATGTAGAGTCCATTAAAACATTTGGCATAAAAAAACTCAATAGAATATTTCTTAAATCTATTTTAATGCAAAATAACGATTAAACTTTGGTTATTGTTACACAGCATAGCTTACATAATATTTATAGATAATTCACATCATAAATAATAGATATTATTTATATTCAGCCAACCCAAGAAGGAAGAGTTTTTATTCTTCCTTTAAGACCAGAGAGTTCGCCATTTTTCTGACTTTCAAAATCTTCCAAGACATCCCTTATGAGTTCTTCTCTGAAAGCTCTCCTTTTTATTTTATGTATAGATCCATCATCCGAATTTTTCAGTGAAAAATCTTCATCCAGTCTGATAACAATAGGTACAAAGCCAACAACGCCTTTTCTTATAAGAACTTCTATATTCGTTTTATTCTTGGGATCTAAATCAATTGGTACTGCTGTAACTGCTGCCAATGAGATAAATAAAACGATTGTCTTGATATCCATCTTCGTCTTATTAATATTCTCTTGTATTTAGTTTTAAACAATATCTTTTTGAATGCACGAATCAATACAAGTTACTCAGCCCAACTATTGTTTTGTAATGATGAACCCTGAGGTCCCGTTAAAGGTTTTATATGTTGACATAAAGCCATTGAAAATAATTATGCTAATAAAATTATGAAAATTCGATGCAAAGGTACGCATCTTGTATAACTCAGGTCACTCGATAATATTTTATATAAATGTTTTCAATGCTATAATGACCATGAATATCTGTTGTTAATTCTACTAAAAAAATACTCACAAACAAGACATATGGTGACATGTTTACTAAATGGATGAACATTCTTGGAAAAAATATGAATCGACTGATTTAAATGTCAATAATTGTGAAATAAACCGTTTGGTTTGTCATTTTATTTACAAGTTAAATTCATTCAATACTCCAGACAGTTTTTTATATAGTTTCAGAAGACAATGCTTATTAATAATTTAGGCGTGTTTGTTTACCGATGAATAAGTCTAGGTTTTTTCAATCCTTAACCACATTTTTTCGTAACATTTCAACTCGATTTTAATACTTCTTAATACTAGATGAAATGACATTTCCTTGTACTACTTTCAATGAAATAATTAGTGTATTGCTAACGATTTTGAGTCTTTGTCTCTCTCTATCACTCTGTAGAATCTTTGTTCTTTTGACAAATTAGTTTTTCGTACTTTTAACGAATTAGTATTTAAAGTATCAGTGTAAATTACATACGCATATACTCAATTAGAATCAGAATTCATTTACGATGATGTTACTATTAATTAGTGAATTATTTTGAGATATGAAAATAGTCTGACTATAAATAAAAGTATAATCTAATCATTGAAAAAGTTAACACATTATACTAACACATACTCATAATAACGATTCTACTAAACATTTTTTCTAAAGATGATTAAGATTCGCTGAAATCAAATCATGTGATAACACTATTTTAAAATATAGCGTCTTTACAATCATTATTTGCTAATAAATGAAATGCGTCATTAGTATAATAAATATGCACATCGATAAAAGTATAACTTTTCTTATTATTATGTGTAGCAGTGTACAGATTGTTAGCATCCTATTAGCACGTCCCTGAGTCAAGGTTCGTGTATCAACGATTACTATAAGATTTGTTTATAAATATAACATTGGAATAGTGCGTCAATTTCCACTTCACAAGTAATAATAAGCATGCTCAAGTTTACACATCCAATAAAACTAATAACTTCAACAATCACCGCGAGACATATAAGGTAACGGATTACTGTATCGTAAATTAGTATCAAGATTTGATCCGTACAAGATTGGAACTACAAGAAATGCAGTCAATAACTTTCGTCGTCGCGTCATTGGCGCTGCTGAGTTTATCGGTTTGCGCACCAGTAGAGGATGTAATTCAGCACATACCAAAGGCAGTCGCAATACCGTCGTCTACAGAAAGAAATGGTGCGTCCTCTGGTGCTGTGGTAAACGCTGGATCTGAACCACTTCTAGCAGCAAGAGCTCGTAGAGATCTTGGAGGCCAAGAGAGTGACCTATTGCCTTCAGCCAAGGACATCGACGCTTCCCCCTTCGGAGAGGTCTCGCAACTAGATGGACGTGGTCGCATTAAAGTCCTACCAGCTTATCTGGGTTAAAAAAATCTGCTCATACATTACATTTTGTAAGTTCCCGATGATTTTATATTGTACGTTATACTTTTGAATTTATCTTTTTTGTTATTGTATTATTTTGTATAAGATTTGTTAATTTATTATTGGAATGTTACTTTAAAACATTTACGTTTATAATATTGTCACCTGACGGGGTGAATTTTATCTCAAATAAATTATTATATTAATAAACTGGGTTTTATTATAATTATATACTTATACCTACTTTGTGGACTTTCTCTTTAGATAAACCTGATCTGAATATAAAAGAATAGAAGCAATTACCAAGAGAACAAAATTTCACTTATAATCAAACTTACAATAGATATTCCTCTATTTCAATTTTTGTAAAAAAGACTTGATGGTGTACCTATGAAAAAATATGCTCTCGTAGGTTTGCGAGTGTTTCAACTTTGGGTCACCATTTGTGACATTAGATTACACTTTGAAGAATAATAAAAATAAATAAAAATAAACTGTCATATAAAGAGAACCTTTAAGACGTTATTGAGAAAGAAAAAGTTGAGGGGAGGTAAGTACCTAAAGCAAAAATTTTAAAATAATAGGCTGATAGTACAGTTCTACCAACTTATATTTCGACCCAGTTATATGTTTTAGTTGCCATTGACCTGACTACAGATCTATCTAGATGCCCCAAACTCTGACAGTTGAATAAAAACTATAAAATAATCTGAAATTGAAGAGATGCCATTTTTAAGTTCATAGGAATTACAAAACATTCTTCAATTAGGTACTTCAATCGATGTGACTTATTGATGTTTAGAAAAGTATAAATTTTTTGGATAATATATTAAAGAAGTATATACACAGATGACAGGTTTAGATGATAGATTCAAATTATGATAATTTGGCTGTTTAGAGGTAGGTATAAGCGTTTTATTTAATAAAAATATTATTGGATTCCCATTACTAAACCCACTTATAATGTATTTTCCTGTTAATTATTGTGTGTTAATTATTTTACATTAGTGAGATTATTATCAATTAGACCGGCTGGATTTCCTTATAAAAGTAATTACGTTTATTCTTCTCATTACTTTTAACTTCTGAAACATGAAATCAATAGTCATATTATTTGTCATTTGTAACCTAATATTCGCGTTTTCATTTAAAATAGACAATGAAGTTAAAAATGGAGGCTTAAATTCAACAGATACTAAAGATATTATTGTCAGAAAACCTCGGCAAACTGAAGAAATACAAAATGCGGAATTAATGTCTCCCGCGGAAAGCAATTATGTTTATCGACCGCTTTTCGTTTATAGAAGGATCGAGCACAGTAAAAGAAGAATTACAATGTATAACTCATTCGCAGGATAGCAATTAAAACGTGAGCAATAAAATTTTAAAGTAAAAATATCAATTTAACAAAACCTTTTAACGATCCAATTACAGTTTTTTTTAACTTATTCCACTTCCAATTTTTTAAACGAACAGTGACAAAGTCGAAATGAATGTTTTTATTAAGTCTGTTTTTCTTGTTTTACACTCTTTCTATGTAAGTAAAAAACTCTTTTTTAAGGTTGAAATTATACTGATTTATAAATAATCTTAAGAAGAATATATTTTAGGTAGGTAATATTATATATTTTAGGTAACATCAACCATTGCTGGCATTTCACCTGTTCATGATTTCACTAACAGAATAAATTTAAGAAGTAAGGGTGATCGTTTGCTGCTAACTTCACCTCATAAAGTTATTAAGCATCTGGACAACAGCATCCTAAAAGCTACTAGAAATGTGACTCAAAATCCAGAAATGGAAGAAAATCTTTATCAAATATCCAAAGATTTAGTTTCAGCAATTCTATCTAAGCTTGAGATACAGGATAAAATTACTAGAATAACTAGGGAAGCCCTCGATGCTCCTGGAAAAACTAAAGGTGTCACCGCCATAGAAACAAGACGAATACTAGATTACATATCGAGAACATTATCCGGGCATATTCTTACAATAACTAGGGCATCTACTGAATCTGAGCTACACAGGTTGGTATTTGGCTTAGCACAAATAGCAGCAGAGGTATCAATTGTGTCCGCTTTAAAAGACATAACATATGCAACAGCATTATCAAAGAAACAATCAGTTGATTTATCTTTACGTAAAAAGCGGTCTATCCCAATAAAAGATGAGAAAATTGAAACAACGCCTCCACCATTCAGTCATCATTTCACAACAGTTTTTGGTCCCATTTTGAATAGCTTATTCGGATCTACTACACAATCACCTATAGTCCATAAAGAAACTAGAAAAATGTCTCCATACTCAATAATTGCGACCAATGAAAGAAATCCCGTAAGAATATTATCTACTAAGAAAAAGGACTCGCCGCTTCCCACAAAAGGATTTTTAAATCAAACAATTCTTGATAGTGAAAATTATGAAAGGAAAATTAATGAGAGCGAAGCAATAGTTCTTAAAAATAAATTAAACGGAACAGAGTTCGTAACAGTTGATGGACATACTTTAGATACAAAAGAGTCAAACGTGCCAAGTCTTGTGGATGATTGGATAGATCCTAGAGAAAATATTTACGCCCTGAATCCCGATGTTGTTGCAGAAATGGAAATAGAACAACCTGATATAGAAGACGATGGAATTAACGAAAAGAAAATAAAACAAAAGTTAGAACGGATGGAGATGAAAGCTAAAAAGGCTATTTTGTATGCTGGAGACGTGGCTTATTTAACCGCAGCTAGCGTTGTAGCTATGAGGCGTGCTCTAACAGCGTCTATAGAAGTTAATATGTCAGTGAAATATGCGAAGAATGGTATGTCAAACCACCAAGATTTAATGATGAATCTAGCAAAAACAGCTGCACAGCAAGCTGGGAAAGAGGCAAAGAGTGCAACATCAAAATCGTTAGCATGTGAGCGTGTCATTAAATTGGCTTTAAAATACACTGCGCAGTCTAAAGGAGCTGTTCTTAACCATGTCGCCAATCGAGTTGTTATGGACACATTGTCCCTTGCAACTCTAGCTAAATCTATGGCATTTGTGTCTTCAGATATAGCTATCAATTCTTTATACCAAGCTACAGATGTTAAACCACCTGCTTAAATGATAATTATTTTTGGGTTTTCTGTCATACATATTTGAAAACAAAAATATATTTATTTTATTTTTTCAAACTATCATCATCCTTTACTCGATTGGTAATTTGGTATAACCATAAATTTAAATATATTCATGTTGTACTAGAAATCCTAGTTGCATCCATTTTTATGATGTTTTTTTTTCGTAATATTTATCCGTTTTAGAAACTTTAAATTGATTATAAGATTGGATATACCCTATTATAAAATTTTTTATTGAACATTAACACGTTCTTGAAACGACAGAAAAAAGGACTTTCCAAAGACATATTGAAAATATTTGGAAAATAACTAATAGTGAATTTGCTTTACAGATGCCAAAGTAGTTTTAAAAGCCACGCACATTTTCAATTTGATTTATCGAGCCCTTATTTCTATATAAAAGGGTTATTTTTATTAAAGGTTAAAGGGTTATCTTTGTTCCTTAAATTTAATTACGATGAATGGTAATATTCTTAACACTTCTTACGTACAAAAGTATTGAATTAAGTTAGCTATTAAGTTAACATCTCAACGGAGAGTTCATTTAAGTATCTGAAACTCATTGCCGCTTTTCTCTCTCCTAAGATTGCGAGATAGAATTTATTTGTATTTATTTGCTAATTAAAACCTTTAAACTCCAGCTTCGCAGCTTCTTTTTAGTACTTTTTATTATTTTTCTTACTTAAAATACCTATAGAGCTATTTAAAAGATGCTCACAATTAATATAGGTATATACATGTATTTTTCTATAAGTAAGTGTTTTCTTAATAACAACAATCATATCTTTAAAGTTTATTTCAAGTGATAAATAGGTAAGTATAACAGTAATTAAAACGTGAAACCTATAAATTATATTACTAACATAAGAAAACCTTGCATTAAAAACAATCCAAGATGTGCAAACAGATTTTAATATTTTTTAATCGTTATTGTTAGGGAACAAATGACTATTGTAATTTCTAACAGTATTTATTTTGATCGGTGACAAGAAAAAAATTATTTTGAAGTTTTACTTTAGAAAGGTATTATATATATTTAAAAATTACTATCACATATAAATCAAAACTACTTTTTAATTTTTACTGGTAATTAGTTAATTGCGGTTTTCAAGAGTATAATTTATAAATATTATAATTATTATTAATAATTTTAAAATTATAATACACGATTCAAAGTATGCAAGGTAGGTTTGTGTATTTTGTAGTTACTAGCGACATCTATAAAAAGTAAGAAGAATCCGTTGTCATTACAGTGGTATTGATTTATAACCGTAAGTGTTAAGCAACTCCAATCGTTAGATGGCGTTAGTAACAAGTTTTTCAATAATAATGTAATTATTACAGTAACACTAAAATTAATGATTTCACATTTTAATGCTTATAATGTATTGAGGAAATGTCAAAATTTTATATAGAAAAAGTGGTCTATAGTAAGAGCTTTTGTTGGGGGCTACGTATTATAGAAAACAACGTGAATATTAACGTATCGATTCTTTGAATTATGCGAAATATGTATGTACCTACTAGCTTTCAAAAGTCTGGGATAAAAACTATCCTTTGTAAGAACCTTGACAAAGATCTCAAGGTCAACTTCATCTTCGTACCTAATTTCATTAAAATCAGTTCAGTGGTTTAGGTGTGAAAGCGTAACAGACATACAGACAGACAGAGTTACTTTCGCATTTATAATAAAAGTAGTAATATAATAGGTCTTTAATAACATTTGAAATTTTAATATTTTTCTAACTTTTTATCTTTTCTTTACTTCCCACCATCTTGGACAAATGTTACTGTTAAATAAAGCTATCTAAAATTAAAAAATTTTTGGTAATAAGGTGTTTGTGCTCATATAAACTGCACCTCGTATACAAGATGTGTTAAAATTAAATATGAAGATTTACAGAAGCTATATTTTAATTAATATAATTAAATGTAAATTTAATTTTTATCAGAATTCTTCTATAACGTGATTATAAGAAATTTTGATTAATCAATATCTAATCAAACTGCCTTTGATATCTTATCAGTGGTTGTGATCAATAATAATGCACATACCGGTACAGATTTAGAGATTGAAAAGATACTGAATACATTAGTCTGTCTGTTTTATATTTATAATAGATATTCATCTTTTCATATTATTACAATATGGCTATTATTGTATACTATTTATGGCGTCTTTGTAAGAAAATGTCGTCTTTTTTAAATTAAAGGTCATTTATTGCAGCCATTTTAAATCGATTTGAATGATTTTAATTCATAAAAATGATTTAGAATAATGACGTTCGTGTTTAGTTGGTAAATGTGGTAAACAAAAGAATTATAAATCACGTAATTCGTGATTTAGATATTAATTTTACTGATATGTGTGGTGAGTGGTGGGGTCTTATAGCTTATCGATTCGATGCGACCGATAAATATTGCAACATTTAAATATATTAAGATTAATTACAATATTTTTTTATATGTTATAAAAGCATTGATGATATTTATGGTTCATGGGAAATTTCACAATTCGAGTATTTTTTTTACTTTAGTTGAAATTAAGTATACAGATTAAATACATATACATAATTAAATTATGTTTCTGTGTCAGTTTTATTGTTTTAAAGATATTTTCCCTTATTAAGTCAGAAATAGCCACATATTCAATTAATAATAAGCTATAAAATTAAATACAAAGTTTTTTTGGAATCAGGTACAGGAAACAGGAAACAGGTACAGGTAAAGAATCTCTCGTACCTATTATGACAGTTAGTTTAATTTAATTTGATGTACCATAGCCTTTTACATATACATATATTACACATATTATATATAATACCTTCTTGGAAGTAAACTTATTGATTCCACTGTTCTTATTGTAAAAATAAATAAATATATTTCACCTGTCTGAATTATCTAGAACGTATATCTTATTTGATGTTGGCGCTATTCCATATTGGCAAATTCAATTCAAACTTCAGCACTAGGTTAATTTTGAATCATTACAAATAGTTTAAATTATAATAACTAGTACTTTTATATGGGAATGTAAACAGTTCTGTGAGAAAAAATATTTCTTTGTCTATCTAGGCATTAATGAAATCTGTGAATGTAAGGGAAAATGAGGTTTTTCCGAGCTCTATAACGTGTTCAACGTATCGGAGCGAGTATTCGCTAAGCCTTGGCGAACATTCTGGAAGGTTGTTGCGTGTTGTTTCCCAATAGTGAGAAAGGTTATGATGCGTTTGACATGACTCCGACTGTTTTTGTATAACCGGTTGAAATGATTTTTTATATCGATATTCGTGCGTGACTATATAGTCTAATAAAATATTTACTTATGTTATAGTTTCTAATAATTGTTACAAAATGTAAGCCGAGTAAAAGAAAATTATATCTTTATATGCATATTTTATTAGATAACCTTAAAAAATTGCAACACAGAGGGATACTTTTAAACACAATTTGTTTTTCAGTAATAACAATTGGTTATGCTTGATTGAGCATAACTATATGATATTTAATTAAAACAGTTGTTCTTTGTTAAATCATTAAATATTAAAATCGAATTGTAATGTTATTCGTAAAAATACGTGTGTTATAAACAGCGTGATATAAAAAATCAGGTTCTTTAATTTGTAAACTTTACGACACAGTGAACTTCGCTCTTGCTAACTTTCGTCATCACATTTCCGAACATAAATAAAAAATGTGGATGAGCACTTTACACAAAGGTATACAATGAGCATATGTAAATTACATAAAATTAAAGGGCTTTAAACATAGGTACCTATATAAAAGACATTTTTGAATCCGGATTTGCCCTTTTGAACTTCGTAATTCGCTAAACGTACGTAAAAAACATGTAACTCAAATACTAGCGCCCTTTGTCTTCAGTGACTTGTCGTTAAACAAAAGATGTACAAAACTATTTTTCTATTTTCCAGGGAGAACTATAAGGAAATTAGGATTTTTTTTAAAGATGAATTTACATGCATACGATATTTTTGTTTAGTACTAAGAGAGTAGTATTGCATGTTGTAGGTATATGTAAGGATTATTACTAATACTTATATAATATCGGATTAAATACAAATTCCTTGGTTTTAAAGGGAGAACCGCCAGCATTGCTAACGTCACTTATATCACTTATTTCAGTACGTTCCATGACATTTTAATATGAAACTTAAATTCTTCTAAATATCCTTATTATTCTCGAAGGTTCTTCATAATCACATTCTTCAATGGTCAGCATTCAGTAAACGTTGCCGTCGTGCGTCCAAGTACCGTATTAATACCAAAATTTAAACATACTTCTATTCTCCTTTTTAATAGTTTTTGATTTCGTTTTACTTTTAAGAATAAATATGAATACTTACTAACAAATTTTTATAATAATTGATGAAAGACTCGGGTTATTTTCACGTTGCATTCGTCGTTAATGCGTGCTGATATAGGTTTTTCTTTACATAAAGAAGATTGATTGCACAATGAAATGACTAAAACATTTTAAATTCAAAACATTGTGTACCAGGCGAGCATAAACAAGAGGATACTTTTTGTATTTCATTGTACAGTACCTCAACCCTCATCATGCGCAGTACAATCTGCGCAATTCCAAGGCCGGAAAAGGTCCGCCCATTTTATTAAGTTAGCTACGTATTTTAGTCCTTGAAATATTAATATGAAAGTAAACATTATTGTCATTTTGTCGGGTTAACTTATATTTAAATGCCAAAGGAAGTAATATAATTATAATAATATCTACATATCTCTATAATTTTATTGCAAAAAAATCTATTATACTATCAATAAGTGTTTTTGTGTACATATCTTTAATAAAAGTAATTAATTATGTATATCAAACTATTTTAACACATTTTCTTATCGAAAAAGCACCTGATTAAATGCATATCACTTTTTATTATAGAGTTTTCAGTCTAATTGAATTCACTGCAATATGTTGTTCAAAATATATAAGGTAACAACCACTTAGTC